CTTTTCACAGTTGGGAGTCCTTGATTTGTCTGCAATTATTTCAAACATGGTCTAATCCTATTGAAATGTCAGTATTACCAAAAGTATACACTTCCATTGTGTATCATAACTTTGGATTTGGGGTCTTTTCATGCCTTTTCAGAAATCCTGTCCTCAAATTAAGTAAAACAGCGATGTCACAGTTATGATGTGAGACCACGTGATGGATCAAGTAGGTCAGAATCTTTTAAAAATCCAGAGCAGCAGGGTACAAAAATAAACTTACTAAAAACCTTATTCTGCAAAATACTTTAGTAATCTGTGAGGTATTAATCCATTTCCACTCTATCATCCTAACTTGTTTCCATCAACCACAGCAGATTCTGAAACATAGTTTACAATGAATCTGACAAGGGACTTGGTATCTACAAACGATGCTAAGGTTCTTCCCAGACCTGAACCTAAAAAGCAAGCTCAAAGCGGTATGGTAGATTCAAGAAGATTAAAAAAGGCATTGGTCTCCAGAAACAGAAGTTTAAAATTACTTACCATTGGAATTACAGGGCAAAGACCAAATGCCTTTCAGAAATTATGCACAATTAAATGAGACTGCTATCATATTGTTGAGTAGAAAGTGAGAAAAACAAAAACAGAAACCATTAGTTTGGGGGAGAAAATTTTTTTTTTTTTTTTTTTTGGTGGCTAAATCGTTTAACCATAAAATAGAGCTAGAGATCTGATAAGTTACAAGAACAATTCTCCCACCAGCAATTAGTAACAGCCATATTACATTTCACATTTCTACTGTGATAAATTACTGTAATGTCAAAGTCTGGTAGACTTTATCTTGCTATCCATTGTTATTCCTCTAATTGTAGAAGGATTAACCAACCAATTTTTGCTAACTGTAGGCACACACACAAAGAAAAGTGAGTTTTGATGAACGTAGGATGTCTAGTCAGCCTCAGGTTCTCTTCAGTCTTCACACTCTTGATGTTCCAGGAATGATGCGCGAGTTTAGGTTGGTTCTAGGATAGGCCCAGGGGCCTGGTTTGATCTGGGATCCCTGGGACCATACCTAGAACAAACCCAAACAAAACCAAACTCCTTGGGAGTGCTTTCAGCTCAGGTGACTTCTGGGCTTTTCAACCATATGGACCTCCAGGGCTGTACCAGGACCATACAGCAATCTTTAAGGAATGGGAGTAGCATTTCTGGAGTTTTCTGTACGTTGCCAGGTGCTAGTACTGTGCAGAAAATACTTTGCTTAAATATGGAATTAAATTTACTTGGGAGAGGAAAAAAGATATCTAATTTTTTAGGATATCATAAAAAATAAACTTGTAAAAGACATGCTTTAGTTTTAGAAAAGATGCTCAAAGATGAAATAAACTCATTTGTAGGCAGTCAACCTTTAGGAAATGTTATAAAAGTGAAAAATGTAAAGTTCAAAACAGTAGAATTATCCCTTATCTTTAGAAACTTAAGATACAAATATGAGGGGAAATATATATTTCTACAATGACTCATAGAATATACTCACTTTGAAGATTAGTGTGTCAGAAGTATACTCAACTTAAATACTGTCCTATTTTAATAACCTGCTGGCCATGTGCTGAATGAAATTGAGTAAATAGGGATGAAACAAATTAACTCAATTGCTGACAGGTTAAAATGTACAGCATTTTAAAAAATACCATATGCATTTTAATGTATCACACATTTTAGGATTTCTATAAAATCAACTCCTTCTTCATGTTATGCTTTTGTATATGTGAATCCTGGAATCAATTCATCCTCTTCTTGATTTATAGCAATTATACTGAGTAAAATCACTTTCCTTTCACAACTATATGCAAGGAGAATTCTTCTCCTTGTACCACCAACCAGGGTTTGGCATCATGGCTATTCTGTAATGGCAGTCTCAACTCAAGAAACGGGTTTGGGTCATCTATTTTTAAATGAATATTATATCATAATTCCCTTCCACTAGCATATGAATAACGTTAGGTGATGAGTCATGGCCATAGGCTGATTTTCCAATTACCCTGTATGTGATGGATGGATGAATCAACGTATGGACTAAAACATAATCAGCCTATTGGTAAAACTAAGTTATTCAAAGCCAGGATATCCCTTTCTAGACAGATTTGAATTTTACTTGCAAACATAATAACATGCAAATTTCATGTTTATTTTTCATTCAAGAGAGAAAAATCATCATGCTTAACATTAAATGATAACTTAAACACGCAAAATATAGAATGACACTAGGAATTTAGTCATTCATATATCTGTCAATATCATTAGATCTAACACTGATAACTTTTGGCAAGCTTTTAACATATATTTCACTGAGTGAAAACAAAGATACTGTCTTAAAATCTTGCACAATCAAAGAACAAATTCTTTGTGGTAAAACTGCCTAGAGTCTAAAAACCTTATTACTTCTCAGCTCTCTGGGATATCAATAATGATAGTTTTCTTATTTCCCAGGACTCAACCTACTTCATGTTTCAGAAATGAAGATGCATCTCTAAAAACAAAACCAAACTAGCCAAAGAAATTCTCAGCAGCATGTGGTATCCAATTCATTTAGAGAGTATGCAGAAAATGCTAATTTGAGTGGGGTGGTTTTAATCAGACCCAAAAAATTAAAGGATAGAATACAGAGAAGGTGAAGTATGGAAACAAAATGGTTCCCCTTGTACAATAACAGCTTGTCTGTTTTGAGAGCAGGTATCGCATTTAGCAACTTCACTTATTTTAAAGATAGCAATGAAACAGGTAGTGAGTAATAGATACAAAATCCATGCGCTTTAAGTATAATCCAGTTTTTTAGTCTTCACTGAGTCGATTTACTCTAGCTGTCTTAGTTACCTGGTTTCCAAAACCAAAGCAGACTAGAAGGAGCATTACGAAGGTGGAGAAAGGCCATTGCTAGGGGCACACGTAAGCAAGCAGTAACTGCAGGAATTGGAGGAATCAGAACTACTAACAGGAAACAAAGACAAGAAAATGAAAAAAGCACAGCAGAATGGAGCCATTTAGTAAAAGGGCACATAGCTCTCAGTGCCTAATTAGACTATCAGTATAACAACTGTTGTTAATAATGAGCATTCTGACATCAAAAAGATTAAAATGATTTTCATATACTGTTTAATAAGACAGCGATGCATACTGTTTTAAAGGATTACCTTCAGAAATTATTCCAAAAATTTGTAATGCTTAAAGGGGTCTAAGCTCTATAGAAAACTCAGATATCTAGAATGAGTCATTCTCCAAATATTCAGTTAGCCAGTTCTTCCTAAATTAGCCATGCATGTTTAGTCTCAAACCTATAGTTCTAGAATATAAATCTTGGTGAACAGAATTGGAGTCACATTTACAATGCTCTAAGTTTTCAGTCTGTGTCCTATACTAGGAACAATCAACGAGAACAAAACATTTAATATTTCCTAAAATATACACAATGATTTGTACAAAGATGGTAGTTGGATTTTCTTTTACAGCTGAATTCATTTATGGAGAGTCCTAGAAACATCAATATATAAAAACTGAATTAATATTTTAAATATATGGCAATCACATATTCAACCAAGTATTTTTAGCAAGTTCTTAGTAAAGAATGAAGAGGCAAACAAAAGTATGTATGCTAAGCAGCCAAACAGGTACCACAAAGTCCATGCACTTAACTGACCGAAAAAGCCCCTTAGCCTTCTTTCAGTCTACTTACTCTTATTTTAGACACAATTCTAGCGAGCTTGGCAATCTGGTTTCTCAGGCCACAGCAGATTATAAGCAGCAAATTAGGGGCCTAGTGCAAGAGGCAGGCACCCAAGACAGCAGCAAAAAATGACAGCTGATTTTAAGGGAAGATAGAGAAACTGTGAAAACGAGACCTAGCTCACAAAGCACAGCATCGTAGGGTCATAGAGTAAAAGGACACATAACCTCATCTATCTTAGGAGTCCCTGAGGGTGCATTTCTGTTTATCACCCCGTGATAGGAACTGATATTCTTAAAGATGACAAAGAAAAAGTTAAATTAGATCCTAAATATTCTAGAAATTTTCCTATTCAACTACTAAAAAAAATGTTATGAATAAACGGATTTGCCTCAGTTACATGAAAAATTAACTCATGCAAGTTAGTTACCTGTCAATGGGGACAAGTAAATTGTTACTGTACTTAGGGCATTTTTTCCATATTTTGTCTTCCAATAGATTTGTTGCTTCATTATCTAATATAAGTGTGAATTACACAGACATGTTCTTATCTATGGAAGTGGAAGAATAAATCAATCTTTGTCTGGTTTTCATTCTTGGCATCTACAGTCTTATGGCATTTAGTTCTTGTTTCCTTGTTTTATTTTGATACGGAAACAATGTATTATGATTAAACTAAATCAGTTGAACTTTTCTTCCGACATGATTTCTAATAATTTATCAAAATATTTCACATTTTATATTACTTATGGTGTATAAATAAAAGTTGGTCACAGAGTGAAAGGACCCTTAGGGTTCTTTCTGATTAACATCCCATTGACTTAAAATTTTGTGAAATGTATCAGAATTTAATTCTTTTTCTGCTTTAACATCAAAAGCTTCTCCAACTTTACTATGTAAATCAGAATAGTACTACTTATTTTTCAGAGAATTTAAAAAAATTTTTTGACCTATTTTACTAACATACGTATAACCAGATCTTTTTTTTCAGCCTCAAAAGTTTCACTTTTTTTTTTAACTACTTCTGAGAAGTCAGAGTTCACCAACATCACTTAGCAATCCAGAGAATTTGTTTTTTGCTGGAAAAACTCCCCATGACATTATTAGGTCAGCTGCACCCATTATTTTTAAATGATGGATCTGAGATGTAAACTCAAGGTTATCCTTTTGTGTTAAAGCTTTAAACCCATATTCTTAAATTTCCTTAGAAATTTGCTTTAAATGTGTTTCTCCTGACTTGTCTCCAAGAACTTGAGAAATCAAACCTGAGTCAATACATCAGTTCTTAATTACATATATTCAAATGTACAATTTTAATGAAGTACAATTTTAAAGAAGGCTTAACTTAGGAAGTCAGAAAATACAGACAACTTAGAATATAAGCAGAAGATCACAAATCAAACACCAGCAAGTCTGGCCCAATGTATGCCAGATATGCAGGGTTTTAATGAAAGCTGAAAAAAATAAGAATTTTAGGTATGATTAACCATTACCAGATCATTTACTGCCATGACTTTCCTTACTGTAGGCAAAGGGTAAAAATCTTGTCTTCAGGAGTACCCCAAATAGCTTCTTTCATGCATTTTTACATTAAGTACTAGGTTTGTCCTGGTAAAATAAACTATGGAAATGTTCATGTTAAAAGCTGTTAGGATATTACTCCTAACAAGAAGTATCTGGTCAAAATATCATTGTAAAATTTGGAAAGCACAATTATAAGCGTTGCATCACAAAATATTTTTCCCGGAGGGCTTCTTTTGGAAGGAGGATGGCAACTATTAAAACTAGTCAAAAGCCTGACAATAAAAAGTGAAATATTCTTAGAAAAGCAACAAGAGTACCTAATTATAATTACATTGACTTGTTTTTATTTCCTAAGGTATTCATGGCAAGAAAAAGTCCTAGACAGAGGTTCTTAGATTTTACTGGGCATAAACATCACCTAGGTCTCATTCCAAAATGACCAACTGAGAATGGATTGGGAGTATGGCCCCTAATCTGAAATGTAAAAATAAGACCTCTAATTTATTCTAAGTTGATGCCCCATAAAAAAAACTGAGAAACACTGACTTTTAGACTATTAAAAGAGAAAATTAGGAATATTCACAGGGAAAATAATATTTTATCTTAGAAGCATTTTAAAAGATGAAAGAAATTTTGAAAACTACACACAAAAAAAGAAGCTTCAGTTAAAGTCCCAAGATCCTTATATCATGGTTTCAACAAGTAGAATTTTCATGGAATTAAGTTAACAACTTAACTTGTTAACAGTGAATAAAACAGATCAGACTGGAAGATTAGGAATTCCTGATTAAAATCAGTCTTTTAAAATTAAAAAGTATCACCTCAGAGAGCACTGAATAAAACTGATAAGATATTAAGATTTTTTTCCTAAACCGCTATAATAAAAATAATACAATAAAAGAATTAAAAGTTACTAAACTCTAATTCTTCCTGTGTAAGGTTACAGATTAAGAGAAAGATTACCAAGGTTTTCCATAACTGCTTCTTCTAAATCCAAGGAGAAAAGGAGTTGTCAAACTAAGTAATTTAAAAAGAAAGTATTATTATTTATGAATACAATCGTCAGTCTCAAAACAAGAATTTGTTTTTTTCTTGAAATTTAGCTAACTATTGCTAAGTGGTAAATTAGGCCCACCCTAAGATAATCCTAAGAGCTTAATTATGGGTAAGTCCCAGATTTTTGGTCAATAGGCAGAATCACAGAGGGTCTCTACTATTCATATAAAGCAGAACCAAGTTTTTCCTCAGGTTAAAAAATACATTTCCTAAGATTACTGGAAAAAAAAAAATCCCTTTGGATACATAAAACTACTAACTCAAAGTGCTCTAAGTTTACAGGAATCTGAATGTTTCTCTAAAGACTATACCCATCGTGTAATCTCCTCTCTAGGACAGCAGCAGAAATTACTATTCCTGTACTTTCCCCAAGTAATGTCTATAAACTATGTCAGTGCGGAAGAGCTATAGGTTTCAAGACGTACTATACTCCTGAAAATGTCACATTTTGAAAATGCAGTCATTTAACACTGGACAATTTGGAAAGCAACCTCTTTTAAGAGGTAGTTTGTAAATGAAGTACTAAGGAGACAAGGATGCTTTCCAGGAAGCAGACAGGATGTTTCCAGAATCTCATTAAGGTGGAGAGAGGGTATAGCCTCAGGTTAGAAATCGGCAGCTAAGGTGACCGGCTTGTGTTAATGGCACCCAATTATCTGTAGGCAAACCTAAACAAAGAACTTTCTGCAAAGTTGGGAATGGGGCCTTGGACTACGGGGATCCCACTTTGACATCATTCCCTATTAGTTACAACAAGAACATAAGATAAACACAAAAAATAATTGAAAGGCTAATTTTTAAAACAGTACAATGTTCTTCTCTTAAGGATTATTAGGACATCTTAAAATTAACTACCGAATACAGGTATGAACAAGGAAACGTTAAGAAACATGTCACAGTCCCAGTATTTTTGACACTACTTTTTAGTTCCAACCCCCAGTACACATTCATTGTATGAATTCAATTTTTTTTTAAATTCAGAACCTGTATCTTTAAGGCTGGTAGAAACAAAAATAAAATACAAACAAGTTGTTATTAACATAATAGTTGCAGTTATTAACTGCAAGAATATAGTAAAAAGGAGTCATACTAAATGTTCTTGCAATAGAATTATCCCAGTCATTTTAGCGAATTCTGGCAAGAAATGATAAATTTGTTTCTTATTAGAAGTACCTAAAGAATTCCCAAGATTGATCAGTTGTACTGCAATTAAAACAGCAAGTTTATTCAAAAGAGCCCTTACCTTCTTATTTTCCTAAAAGATTTGCCATTTACAGGTTAGCTACTATTTTCAGAGCAGTTGTTCAAACCAGGGTTCTTGTTGTAAATTCACATCTTAGCTTTATATATAGTAAACACTCATGTTCCCTTTCCAGTGGATTATGTAGTGTTGAAGCTAAAACACCTGCATAAAAGCAACAATTTAAAATCCTTCATGTAAATCTTGGTTCTTAATTCTCTTCTACCTCATTTTTATTTTCTTGTATTATTTGTTCTTCCTCCTCATCACCAAAAGTCTGTTCCTGCATGGTGGTAAAGGAGAGAGATCTAGCAGCCACTTCTGCAGCAAGACCGGCAGTGAAGGTAAAATCCGGTGACCGCTGGAGCCGTGCCAGTCTCTGCTTAATGGAGGGCTGAAAGAAGTCCCTGGCAGTTGGATGGGCAGTGGACAGGCTACCTACATCTGCCTGCTGACATTCCTCTTCACTCTCACACTGGTAACACACTCTTTCTTCAGCTCCTTGGAGGAAGACGTCATTTGCAGAATTGTCTTTATTTTTACTATCTAGAGGGTTTTCAGATAAATACTCAGTCCTACTACTTATTTCATTGTCAGCTGTGGAGGGTTTACTATTTTCCTCTTCAGTATCATTTTTACCAACTGTCCCCATATCTGAATCCACTGATGGTTCTGAATTACTTATGGGTTCCACTGGGTCTACAGGAGACAAGGATTTCAACATAGCTTCAAAGGAAAAAAAAAAAAGAAAGAAAGAAAGAAAGAAAAAAAGAAAGAAAAATAATAACTAAGGACCCAGCATTGATTTAAACTTTAATTTAAACTTCCAGTAGTTTTTTCTTATAAATAAATAAAAGCTAAATAAAACTTTCTAGTAAAATCTATGTAAATTTATAAATCCAGAGAACTTTAGAAGAGATAGAATGCCTAAGAAATGAAATGGGATGGGGTTTTGATGAACACCTCACACGTTCTCTTATTCAAAATATTAAAGCAGTGGTTCTCAAAGTGTGGTCCCCAAACCAATAGCATCAGTTGTAACCACCAGCTTATTTGACAGAAGTGCAAATTTTTGGGGCCCCACCCAGACCTACTGAAGGGGACACTGTGAGTGGGGACCAGCTGTGTTGACAAGCCCTACACTGGACTCCAATGCACACTGCAGTTTGAGAACCATCTTATGAAAGAATAAGCAGCATGATTTTTACCGATAATGTGTCAGTTAAAAGGTCTAAAGTCATCCAGATAATAATCATCTCTTCAGCACATATATATTTACAAGTTAAAACAGCATGGAAAAAAAAAATGCACACAATTCAACTTACTTGCCAACCACCTAACAAGACCCTGATGAAAGTAAAGCCATAACTTCGACACATTTCGTAATGTCACAGAAAAATAGAAAACAAAATAAAATCTGTATTCAAAATCAACTATTGTACAAAGCACAATACATAAATATTATATCCATACGGCAGAAGTTGTCCTTTCAAGGAAAATGAAGTTTTATTTAGCCCCTCTTGATGTTAGTAGGCAGTGGGTTGCTTGCTAGGCAGTCTCTCCTCCCAGTATGAGGGGTTAGTACAATACAATATATTAGGAAGCATGACGGAAGAAAAGAAAGTGCTTCTTGAAGATCTGGCGTTTATTTAAAAAATAATTTGTAAAAGGAGTCCATTGCCAAGAAACAGATCCCTAAGCTGCAGTAACTCCACTAGGGAAGCAGCAACAACAGAAAAAATGGCCACAGCAGGTTCCAGTGTAGAATATCCCTCTCTAATTCCATTCGGACTTTACCCCTGTAGGCAGAGATGAAAACAACTCTGGAAGATGTACTGAAATTTTTCATGGAAAAAGCATTTTATGGTATCAGCAGCTTTTTACTTATTTTCACAAACAAAATCAGTATTACTGCCCTTTCAAATGTAAACTACCAGAAGCACATACCTGAAAAAAGACACACATTTCTTTCATTGTTATATCCTTGCCCGTATTGTCAAGAGGATAATTTTAAAGCTATATGGAAAAAATACTCAACAATAAAGATACAGATTTATATACAACGCTATTTTCAGTCTTCCCATACATTTTTAGTCGATAAATCTAGTTCTTAAAGAATGTAACATATATTAGACGTTGATTGATATCCCTGATTATTGCTAATTAAATAGGGCAACATAATCCGTACAAGTGGAGGGTCAAGTGTTAACCCTGCTGGAATGTAAGCCTCCAGGAGTACAGGGACTTTGTCTCTTGATCTATGCACTAGGGATACAGCAGTAAACAGCGCCTCAGGAACTACTTGTTGAATGAATAATTTTCTGAAGGAACACTGTGGGGGATAATAAAGCCCCTACTGATAGAGACTGTGATTTCATTAGAAAGACAAAAACATCGGATGCATAGAAAACAAGAGTGCCTAAAACACAATGCTCTCAATCTCTGATTCATGTACGCCCAACATAGGAACAAACAGGCTACAGGAACTCTATCTTTACTGCTGCTTCTGGGAAGTTCTTAAGCCACTACATATGTTGCTGCTCAAGACTTCCTTCCAATTCCCTCCAGTGCCCCTCTGGTGTGAGGCTCTACAGCGGTGGGAGAAGCAGCAGGGAGAAGAGGATTCATGGGTGAGCAACTGGTAGAAAGGACAGCTCGGTGGAGAAGACAGAATTCTTGGTATAAAGAGATCAGCATGCATGTTTTTCTTCTTTTTTTTTTTTAAAGTAAACTCCAGCCCCAATGTGGGGCTTGAACTCATGACCCCAAGAACAAGAGTCGCATGTTCTACCAACTGAGCCAGCCAAGCGCCCTGGCATGAATGTTTTTCATGAATGAAATCAGTTAAGTTTGTGGAACCATCGTCTAATTAGATGAATATAACCAGAGGAGGATATCTGTATTAGAAAGAGTAGGAAATATAAAATGACGGACTCATATGACAGAGAGGCTTGAAACCAGGAAGAAAGGGAGTTTAGATTTAATACAGTAGGAAAGGGAGAACCACTCTAGGTTTTAAAGCTAGACAGCCATTATCAATGTACTCTACTCTTTGAGAAAAATCTGGAGGGAGCCTGCAAGGATAGAAGCTAGCTTAGAAGCTATCTTTGAAGGATAGCTTAGAAGAAAAAGGTATTGAAAACAGAAGTCAGCTGGGGCGCCAGGCTAGCTCAGTCAGTAGAGCATACGACTCTGGATCTTGAGGTCATGAGTTTGAGCCCCACATTGTGGGTAGAGTTTACATAATAAAAAAAAAAAAAAGGAAGTCAGTTAAGAAACTATTACAATATATGAGCACAGTCTAATAAGGACCTGGGCTATAAAGGGGACCAATGGGAAGAGGAAGGATAAAATCAAGACATGTGTAGCTGGACAAGGGAGAATGGTAGAGCTCCTAAGAGAAGAAAAGAGAAACCTGAGGAACTTTCCAAAAGTATAGGTAATCTATAAACTTCTAGTGAGAACGGGAAAAGAAGGCAGTTGATTTTGAGGCTCCACATAAGTACTCCATAAAAGGGGAATCCCACTCTCCCTACTTAGAAATCTACAGAAGTTAATTCTCAACTAGGAATTAATTTGATAGTGTCAAATATTAAGCTTCCTCTCATTCCTTCCCTCACCTCCCATGAAATCCAACTCAAAAAAAGAAGAGTGGAAGACTTACAGGAGTTTAATGCTAATCGTCAGTATTGTCAATATCCAAACATGGAGACAGTGTGCACAAAAGCAACTCCTCCTCTTCTCCCATCTACTAAAGTGCTCAAATCAATTAAGTAACTTTAACGATATAGCTAACTGGCCTAGGTCTTAATTCATTTGTTTCAATGATGAACATAGAGTTATTAATTTGGTGCTTCACTGAGGTATTTATAGTATCAACATAAAAGAGAACAGTTTAGAATCTCAAATTCACTAAATTTGAAAACACTAATTTATTCAACTTACTGCCAGTTCCAAATAAAGTTTAGTAAAACAGCAAATATGTGATGAAAAAGTATTATTTCATATTCCCAATTTGATTATATACCTACTCTTTTATTGATCATATTGATCTGTGTTTGGAAGAAAAAGTACTATACTTGCTGACAGATCCCTAAAATTAAATCTATAAGAATTTTACAGCTAAAACAAGATTCATAGTTCAAGGAAAAAGAATCCCCTACATTAAAATAACTTTTTTGTTCTGAAGTCAGTGCTTACCGTGATCACTAAATAGAAGTTGCTTCCACTTGTGTCTTTCTGCCTCTGATGCTTTAAATCCCAGCACAGATTTTAATTCTTGGAGGACCCTCTTGGATTCTTCATGTTCACGCTTCTGTCTCTCTCTGTCTTCTTGAGACAAGTAATAAAAATCATCCTTTCTGAAATCACTGTCCATATCTATATCATCTACATAAGCTTCTAATTCCTGAAAATGAATATAAGAAAAAGCACTTCAAGCAGACAATTTTCTAGTAGCATTCATGAACTTATATCTACCCATCTCCAAGATTAAAAAATGAAGACACTTGGCACAGGTCACTAAAGCAAAGGTGGGCAAACAGAGCAAACATATTATTATAGATAAATTGAAGTCTTAAAAAAACTTCACAGTTGATACTAAAAGGGACTGTGGATAAGAAGGTTTAATAACTTCAATCATTATTTTTCTGCTCTGATACCATTCTATAGATCTAGACAAGATTAAGTATTAGCTCTGCAAAACCAATCAAAATTAGAAGGGCTGGTAGTTTGGGGAGGTGGTCAGGTATGTTAAGTCTTCTTGTGGTAGATATTTGTGGTTCTTTCTGACTTCCCAGGAACAGACTAGGATCCTTGCTTATCCAGCCTCCTTGCAGTTATGGGTCAGGCAAATGACTTGGGATCCTCTAATCAGATGTACATGGATCACATCTGACCCAGAAGTTTATTACAAGGGAAGCAGGCATCTTAAGGAATCCATTCTGGTAAGAATGGTGGCAGATCATGTTTCTAGAGGTAGAGGTTCTAAAGGGAGTTTTTATTATTCAGCAATGATAGAGCAATATCTGCAACCAGTGACTGGGCAGTGATGTTGCTGGAAAGGGAACAATTCCTTTGGGTGATTTTGGCCATTTACACCAGCCTGGTTCAAACCTATGTGGTCCTCAGAAATATTCTTTCAGTCATGTACTGTTTTTTCAAACAAAATTTTTGTTTGTTGGGGCTCCTGGTGGCTCAGTCAGTTAAGCGTCCGACTCTTGGTTTTAGCGCAGGTCATGGTCTCAGGGTGGTGAGATGGAGCTCTACGTCAAGCTCTGTACTCAGTGGGGAGTCTGCTTGGGATTCTCTCTGTCCCTCTGTCCCTCCCCCTACTTGCGTGCTCTCTCTCTCTCTTTCTCTAATAAAATAAAATCTTAAAAAAGAAATCTGTTTGTTAAAGGAAACAGAATTGGTCTCCTTTTGCAATTAAGAACTGAGTAGACAGTATGACCAAAGGAAAAGAAGTTTTCCTAAGGATAAGCAGAAGAAATCTTTGTCAGTGTCTAATGAAATCATTGAAAAATTGTTTCTTTAGAGTGAGGTACAGTGTACATGCTGCCAAATGCACAAATCTCAACGTGTGCAGGATTTTCACACATGTATACGGACCGGTAACCACTCGCCCCATTTCCAGCATCCCAGAAGGTACCTTTGCCAATGCATGGATTTTTAATGTGTTTAATCACTTTTAAGTGTCTAAGAAATAGTAAGATATAAATAACATGTAAATTTGCTGGTAGATTCAGTGCACTGAATTCAAGGCATTAAGAACAAATGATGTGATGTCAGTTCAGTACATTGTGTTGTAATTTTGAAGCTCATCACAAACATAAATTTAACAACTTAGTGAATAATTATCTACGCCACTTACAGAGAAAGCAGGCACCCTTTATATGTGGAGCTCTTCTTTAGGGGGAAAAAAAGCAATTTCACCGTTACCTGCTCCTCGGGGATGGGATCTTTGTCTGCAATGTGTAGAGCAGGCTGCATCAGAGGCGCCACAGTACAACGGGGATTCTCACACGCTATTTCAGGCTTGCCTTAAAAAGCAACAGACCACGTGGAAACGAGTGAACATCTAATTAAAAACATTCTTAGTACTAATATTTTGCCAGTTTCATAGTCCAGCTTGTTCTGATTGTAACTTTTAATTTATAAAAAAAATTAAGGATGTTAAAGTTAACAGTAACAGCAGCAGATTTACAATTTAAGTTAAATTAAACTCTTGGAGGAGTAACTTGTTTTTCTCTCCCTTCTTCATCTCACCATAGTATCTGGCACACAACAGGTGCTCAGTTTTTGTTCATGGCACAGGAACATTCTCAAGACAGACCACCACTCTTCCCCACAAAAAATAAACTTCAATCTTGCACTTCCCTTATATTATTTCTACTCTCAGAAGTTAGAATTGGAAATGAGTTTCACAAGGAATAGTTTGAAGAGATCACCCAGGTGTGAACTTTAATTACTTAATATTGGTGTTTAGTTTCTAATCACCGGGTTACTTAGTCTCATGTCCAGCTCTCTACCTTTCATCATTATCTCTCTACTTAAAAAGAAGTAGGGTTTAAGCATCTAGATTTTTACCTTTCAAGAGTAATGATAGATAACTGGTTGGGACCAGGGTTGGGGGGAGACTCCTGGCTGTCAAGGGCTGGTGTGGACAAAGCAAGCTGGACTGGGATGGGAAAGACTCTCAGTAGGTGTCAGTCAGCAGCAGTGTGGCTTAGGGGACAGCCCATATTGTCAGGCAATTGCTTACACACAGGGATTGAATAAATAAGTAAACTTTGAAGATAACGAGTGCCGAGTTTCTCATAATCAGAAACGGGAGGTACAAATAGGGAGAAGGACAGAAAGAACTATGTAGTATTGGGACTGAATTGAAGGTATTGGTGTGAACCCATGGTATATAACATATATGGACAGACGCTGGGAATTGGTAAAAACAGTAACATCCCAGTGGCTATGAGCATACTTAGGATACTTAGCACCCACATGCTGGTTTCTAAATACCATTTTTCCATTAAAAGGATTGAGGGCTTCTTGGACACATGGCTGATGTTAGGGCTCAGGGCAAGGAAAGTATGAAGATGTAAAGAAGTGATCAAAGAAAGAATGATGGTGGCACAAACCACCCTGAATGGGTCACCTCTGGTTAAACTTTGGACAATTTGAGCAACAAAATAATAATATAATACTAACAAATTATGATCCACAGAATAAAACAAGAATCCATATATCCATATTGATATAAATAAGTGGAAAAGGGGGCTATCTGTCTCACAATAGAATGCTGACTAATAAGTGTAAAAAGAAAAGTGGAATTGGAAAATTACCATTTGGCAACAATCACAATACCTAATTCAAGCAAGAACTACTAACCGGGTGGATGCTAAAACTAGTGGGTGAAAACATTTTAAGCTATTTTATTTTACTTATTTAGAAAATTCACCCTTTTTGGTATCTAATTTTATGAGGTTAGACAAATTAGAGTCATATAACCACCACAACCAGATATAGATACAACCAAGATACAGAACAGCTCCATCACCTCAAAACACTTACTTACGCTGCCTCTTTATAACCTATTCCTCCCTCCATATCCAACTCCTAGAAACCACTGGTATGTCTGCTGTTCCTATTAAATTATACTGTTTTAAGAATGTCATTTCAATGGAATCATAGACTATGCAGTATTTGAGTCTGGCTTCTTTTGATTAACACAATGCATTAGAGATCCTTCCATCTTAATGATGTATCAGTAGTTTCTTTCTTTCTTATTGCTGAGTAGTATTCCATGTGGATGGATATAACAGTTTATCTACTCATCAGCTGAAGGACACTTGGACTGCTTCTAGTTGGTAGTGATTACGAATAAAGCCACTATAAACATTTGTTTACAGGTTTTCAAGTGAACATTACATTTTTATATCTCTTGAGTAAATATCTGAAATGATACTAGCGGGACATATGGAACATATACGCTTAATAGTGGCAAAAAACTTAATATAACCTCAGGGTTTTTTTTTAATAAAATGCTTATCGTGAAAGACGAGAAAGGCTAAAGTAGAATAAAGAACATAAAAGCTAAATGCCATGTGTGATCTGGATCTGGGCATATAAAATTACTGTTGGATCAATCAGTGAAATTAGAATGGGATCTGTGGATTAGAGAGCAATATTGTACCAGTGCTCATCCTGATTTTGATGTATATTGTCGGTATGTAGGAGAATGTCCATTTTCAAAAATGCAAACAGAAGACTTTAGGGGAAATAGGATCTCATGTCTGCATCTTATTCTCAAATGGTTCAGAATAATATTGCCAAAAGAATTTATAGACAGATACACAGAGAGGTAAGGCAAATGTGATAAAATGTCAAGTGAGGAATATGGGTAAAGAAGGGTACTTTGAACTATTCTTATGATATTTCTGTAGTTTTGAAATAACCTAAAAAGAGCTAACACCTACTAAAACACCTGCTTCTTAAAAAAAATCATACAAACATTTTATTCAAAGTTACACAGCCATGGCCACTATGAGCAATTTAGTGAGGAAAGTTTGCAAATGACTTATATCTTAATTTGTACCATTATCACTTATAAGCAAAAGCCACATATGCAGAACATCATGGCTTATCACCTGCCCAGTGTTTTGGAGACAGTTTTAACAATCATGTGTGACTAAAATTCAACATCTCAGAGTATGCTAAGGGGAGGAATAAATGGGATGCATCTCTAAACACCTAGTCGTCTTCTGAGTGTTTCCATTTAAAGAAAATGTACTCAAGAAACTAATATTACACTGTATGTTAACTAACTGGAATTAAATAAAAACTTGAAAAAAAGCCACCCCCAAAAGCCTTAAAAAAAGAAAAAGCTCTAGACTTAAGTCATATCAAAAAGTTAAACATGCATAAATGTTTGCATATATTAAAAATCCTTGGCAAATTTACCCTTTGAAGAAAAAAATTACTCGCCATTTACATTTTAGATGTAAACGATCTATTGGTGATGTATCCGTGATTAGCATGTTAACATTTCCTTTGAAGAAAGTTAACTTTCACTATATAAAGACTTATTCAGCTTCTTAAACACATTAAAGTATTACAGATCTAGCTGTAAATAAAACAATGACTAACAGGGTGATAAAGCATTAATCATCTTTGGCAGCAATACAATTTCTACATAAATCTGATTATCATAAAGGTCCAAGGGATAAACATGGTATTGGATTGTAGCACAAATTTAAAAATCAATATGCCAAATATTTACAATGATTTAGTGAAATGTACTAGTAAAAACTAATATAAAATCTGGGTCAAATGAAAGTGGTTTTGTGGAAAATTTCAAGATTGCCCTTTTGCCCAGCAATACAAGGCATTCCGATGTCACCATTACATAATGGCACTTAACACATTTTTGACCCTTAGTAACAAATACACAGTGCTGCCCTATTATAGCGCTGGTATACTATTCGTGAATGCCTGACGTAGTCTACCTTACAAGCAAGACTCAATTTCTGGCCTATAGCTATCAAACTCATTATTACACTAACTGGAAAAGAATTTCTCTGGAAGTTCTAGTAATGGAATAAGACTTTTTAAAATCTACCCCTTCATTAAGTTTTTTAAAAAGGAGGTATAGGATTCAGAGAACTTTCAAATCATATTCATTTATTGTTTACAAAATAAGAGCCAGACTTTATATTCAGTGCCAATTTGTATGTTTAAGTTCAACTTTTCTTTTAGTAAACTAAGAAGTTTTGTCAAGTCACTTACATCATAGAGATAAGAAACCTACCTAACAAAATCTTACTGGAGGACATTAAGCACGTCTGATAAATGTGTATGAAGGAAAGCTCTTATTGGTACCTTTTATATCTGTGTTTCTTCGGAGCAGTCGGTCCACTTGAGAAATGGCCTCTTCCCAGCAATTGTTGCTTGCCTGAACATGGGGCTGAATCAACTTCAACTTCTGTTCTAGGATTTGATAAGATTCTGATACTAGTTCTTGTGTTTCTTTAGTACAAACAAGCTTTTCAAGTTCATCTTCAAGAATTATTACCCTAAGTAGTAAAGAAAAACAGAAACAGATTTCTAAAATATTAAATAGAAAATTTATAATTCATAAGGCTTATTTAAGAAATAAGCTTATAAAATGAAAAGAGTTCTGGAGATGGAAAGTGGTGATGGTTGCACAACAAAGTATATATACCTAATGCCCCTGAACTGTATGCCTAAAAATGGCTAAATGGTAAATTTAATGTTAAGTGCATTTTACCACAATGTTTTCAAAAGCTTATAAAGGATATCACCTATTTATTCAACAATATTTCTTTTACATATATGAGGCATTTATGAACTGAAAGGATAAATTAAGCTCATTTCATACTTAATAGGAAACATAACTGAATCAGGGACATTAGGCATATATATGTAAATATAATATAATACCATAAAAAGCTCTAACATTTTATTTCCACTTTACAGATGAGCAATTGGGTCCAGAGAGTTGAAGAAACGTGCCCAGAGTTAGACAGCTGGTAGGCTCCATGTTTGGGCTGGATAGAAGCACAAAAGTGTAATACCACAGAAAGATAAAGACCGTGTTGTAAGAATTCAGAAGAGGAGAAAATTGCTACCAGCTATGGGTACAGACAGGGAACAGCTAAGGAAGAGGTACTTTTGAGGAAGCACTGAAGGATGGATAAAATCTGAACATGTACAAAAGATGAGGAAGGTCATTCTAAATGGTACATGGGAAAAGGCATTTATGCAGTGTCTTTGGACTGAAAGAAAGGAATGAGAAATAAAGACAGAAAGGCAGACTATATCAGGTTATAGCAAATCCTTTCAACAGAATGTTTTAGACAGACTGTAGTCCATGCTGCTACACTCTGAAACCAGTGAAGATTTTTGGTTAAGTGAGAAAGCAAATATATGCCTCAGAAACATTACTGGTAGTCAGCACTCTAGAGGCAGAGAGAAGAGTAGAAGGGTTAATGCTCTAGTGTACAAAACTGGGAAGAACAAAGGGGACGAGTGAGGAGGAGGAGTGAAACAAAACGAATGTTTAGATAACACTTAGTGTGAAGCGCTGCTATAGAGTAAATCAGATATGGCTTGTGACTGGTATACTCTGTTTGAAAGATGACATTTAGTACCATATATAGAATATTTCATTTTTAAACATCCTTCCCATGCATAATCCACAGTCTCTGCCAAGGTACAAAGCCCCTCTTTTTCATGTCCATCCAGTTTAGCCTCTTTCTTCCCTGAGCCATCTTCCCTAACTCTAATGCATTCTATTAAGTCCTGTATAGTTCTGATTCTATTGCCAAAAATTAATTCTTTAGAGACTCTGGCTTTGCCCAATACAACCTTTCCACTAAAATGTTTTCTCTGACATATAACCAACCTTTGTTGTCCCCTCAAGTAGAGATTGCCTTATCTTCCGTAGTCCTTGTGGGAGATAGGACTGAGTCCAGTTAGCATTCATTCATCTGCTTTCTTAGAACAGCTGCTAGAGACCACTGGAACATCCCTGCCTCACAGTTTCTTAATTTCCCCCTATGCCCTAACCTTTATAGCTGCCTTTTATACCTCAGACATATGGGTAAAAACTGATTTTCTCAAAATGTCTTTCTCACCTTAATTTCTTATTCTTGTTCATCATATTCTTCCTTACTCCAGTGAACTAGCCCTTTGATTTTACTGAGACGTCAAATGCTTTTGACCTGTTTTTGTTGTTTGTTTGTTTTTATCTTACAAAACTGAGTCCTGACCTCCCCCTTCTACTTCTTGCCTGGTATCCAGGGTCAGGTACATTAACTACAATCTTATCAACTCATTAAATTCCCATGACCTTCCTGATTACCAACATAATATGAACCCAACCATTCATTTGATCCAGTCCTATACTACAAGTATCTGTTACAGAAAAATGTCACTGGAATGACTGGATGCTACATTTGACCAAGGCAGAGTACCAATAATACCATGCAAAGTAGGGGTGCCTGGGTGGCTCAGTTATTAAGCGTCTGCCTTTGGCTCGGGTCATGATCCCAGGGTCTTGGGATCGAGCCCCGCATCGGGCTCCCTGCTCAGCAGGAAGCCTGCTTCTCCCTCTTCTACTCCCCCTGCTTGTGTTCCTTCTCTCGCTTTGTCTCTCTGTCAAACAAATAAAATCTTTAAAAAATATATACCATGCAAAGTAGAAGATAAACAAATATAAACTATGGACCCTGCACTTTAATATTCAACTTGGGCCAAAAAGTTTGTCCTCTGGCTCAGAAAATGTCCAAATCTACTTTAATTCATTTTTAAAAATTATAATATATTATTCTTCAACTATATATAACAATACCTCTTATAACTTACTGTTCCAGTGCTGGCAGATCTTTTTCTCAGATTGCAGGGTTCAGTTTAAGAGCCCTACTTAAAGAGCGTTAAAAAAAGCTCAATCTTTGTAAACATCTCCATTTCAGCTCTCAAACAGAATGAACACCTGCTTTTGTCCCTTCTAGGTTTTCTGTTGAAATCAGACAAAGTGAAAACTATAAATGATTCCCCCAAATTATAGTACCTACAAATCATTCTTTCTCTGCTACATTCATAGTTATAAACCATTCTTCATGCTGCATGTCTCAATTTTGCTTCTTTCTAGCTAGGATATAAGCCAACAACCACAATGGCACAAGAATGAGGCTTGCTAATCATGGGGACATTTTCTTATTTGGCTTCTAAACTTACTCATTCAGTAACGCTTTCAGATGGAGCTGCAAGCTGCGTACTGCTGTGTGAACGTTATTCAGTTCTCTTGACTTCTGTTGAGTTTTGGATAAACGCTGGGGTACTGACTGGTGCTGAGTTTCAAAATACCGATAAAACTCATAGCTGCGCTTAAGCTCTTCCAAGCAGGCAGAATGAGCATGAGGTAGACCTTGAGTCACATCAGATAAAATACGATGAGGCAAAAGTGCTGGAGTAAGTAAGGGCCCAGGAGGTGAATTAGCTGTAGAAAGTAATAGGGCTAGCCGTCTGAAGAACTCTGAACTCTGTGCCACCCAGAGTTGAAACAAAACCTAAAAAGAAAAAGGGACTACATCAATTAAAAAAAAAAAAAAGGTCAAAATTCAAAACAAACTACAAATTTGTTCATCTTAACTTCTGGTTAAATTTCTTACTTTATCCTAAGTAATGAATATAGCTGAGCTTGAACTAATCCTGAAGATTAGCCAAGAATGTTAGATCAAATTATGTAGTCATGGCATGTGAGAACTCCTAATACGAATATAGCATGTAATACCAGTATATACTTCAGAACAGTTCTATCCCAGAAAAAAAGTGTTGATAACGAGATACATCTATTAGAAGTGAATATTCCTTGATGAATTACTTACAAATTTTACACAAAGTAGAAAAGAAGACAGTAGGAATAATGGACCTATAGAAGTCTAAAGAAATGAGTCAGTGAGGCATCCAGAATTTATTGTTCAAAATTATACCATTATTTTGGCCTAGGAAATAGCTAAGAAATAACATAAAAATCAGTCCAGAGTAGGGGATGTCTGGCACGAGAAACTGCAAAACCCATTCTTGAGAGGTACACCCTGAATCAACAAAGGATTTCTCCAGATGTAGTCCTGTTCAACATGAGGACATGAGGACAACATCCCACAAATAAACAAATACATGAGGAAGCAATCTAATATGAGTAAGAGCAGACAACAGAAAGATAATTTTTCACAACAATGAAAGAGGATATTACTTAGATCGCTTTATTAAATGAACTTTAAGTTATACAAATGCTGAATTAAGATAATTTAATATAAACCTCTCTTACTATTAACTTATTTTTTTAAACTGAGCTAGGTCAAATTTCTAAACTGCTGAAGACACACTGTCTAGGAATTCTTGAATTTATATAAACAGCTTACCTCGCAAGTCTTATTATTTAACCATTAAAATTTGTGACCACAATGATTTTCTTTATGGTCCTTTATTTGATCATTCAGCATATTCTTTTTTTTTTTTTTTTTAAGATTTTATTTATTTATCTGAGACAGAGAGAATGAGAGAGACAGAGAGCACATGAGAGGGGGGAGGGTCAGAGGGAGAAGCAGGCTCCCTGCTCTGCAGGGAGCCCGATGCGGGACTCGATCCCGGGACTCCAGGATCATGACCTGAGCCGAAGGCAGTCGCTTAACCAACTGAGCCACCCAGGCGCCCCATTCAGCATATTCTTGAGCACCTGGATATGCCAGGCACTGTTCTAGGTGCTGGTAATACAACAGATAACAAAAATGAAAAAAAAAAAAAAAAATCCCTTTCTTGATGGAACTTATATTCAGTTGGCAGGGGGAGCAAAAGATTCTAACAAGTAAGATAGTTTCTTGGCTGATGAGCTATGGGAAAAAATACAGCAGAGAAGGGGAATAGCGAATGTGTGTTTATGTGTGTATACATGGGGGAGGAAAAGGGAGAGAGAGGCAGAAGGAGGGAAAGATGGGATGGCCAGGAAGGTCTCTAAAAGTGTCATCTGGGGGTGCCTGGGTGGCTCAGTCGGTTAAGCGTCTGCCTTCAGCTCAGGTCATGATCCCAGGGTCTTGGGATCGAGCCCCGCATCTCCCCCTGCTTGTGTTCCCTTTCTTGCTGTGTCTCTGTCAAATAAATAAATAAAATCTTTAAAAAAAATTAAAGTGTCATCTGAAGGAATTGAGCCATGGGACTATCATCAGGGAAAAGAGTCACAGGGAGCAGTAGATTCACGTACAAAGTCCTGTAGTCAGACTATATAGTACTTGGGACATGTGAAGAAGAGCAAGGTCAGGGTGGCTGGGTACAATAAGTAAGGGACAGCATGGTAAGCAATGAAGTCCCTGAAATAACTGGCTTTTACTCTAAGAAAAGTGGGGAGCCACTGAAGGGTTCTAAGCAGAAGAGTTATATGATCTCAGTTATGCTCCAGTCAGAAGGATACTACAATAATCCAGGTGGGAGTTAATGGTAGCTTGTACCCCAGTGGTTAGTGGTTAAGAGGTGAGCAGTAGTGAGACTCTGGATATACCATGTAACTAGAACCAACAGAATCTCTTGATGGATTGTTTATGAGAGAAAAAGTGTTATCAAAGATGATTCCAGAGTTTTGGGCCACAGCAACTGAAAGAATCAAGTCGGCACAGCTTATCACCACTTTTAAAAAGACTATCAAATCACTGCCATATTCTCCAGTTAAACCAAAACTAAGAAATATGCATTTTTTCCCATTTGTTGTTTGGATAGGGAAGTGGCTCTGGATGACAGGATAACCATAGCTTATGGGCAAATAGGAAATTTTGATTTAAAGCATTTTCACAGAATGTGGATTTATTTTTTAAAGCAGGAAACATACTATTTTATAATGATGAAAAAACTAGTTAAAAATTTGAACAAAGAGAAAGAGAGACAAGGACTTTATACTAAATATTTTATATACATCCCCCTCAGGGCACAATGAGGAGGTAGCTTTTCTTTCCAAAGGTGCAGCACTTGCTAAGTTTTCCTGAGAGGAGATATGTGAACAATAAAATCTAAATCCAAAGGATATTTTCTTTATAGGTCACAAAGAAAATTACAAAGGAAAACAAAGGTGCTGATTTATTTGTAAACCATCTTTCACAACATTTAAAAAAAAATTAATTAGTGTTGCTCTTTAGAGACAGAAATTTCCTTTAAATTTAACTTGCTTTTAACTTAAAATTTAACTTAAAATTTCCTTTAAAATTTAACTCACAAAGTCCATTTTTAAATTCTTTATCTGGGTACAATGGCAACTATACAAGGTGGCAAAACATAGTTTTTGAACATTATAGGGGTTTTCAGTGGTTTATAAACTCTGTGGACTTCAAGATAAAGCTTCTTGCAGAGGCTGATACTCCTGGTAATAATACAATCATTGAGTTTGGTTATAGATTACTTATGTGTCAAGATAAAGCAAAAGTCAAAGAACTATGGTCTAATTTATAAAACAACTTCGGTGAACAAAAAGGATTTAGCTACAACTAGCATCTTTTGCAGAAGTGCAATTACTGATTCAAAGCACATGATTTTTAAGGCTCCTTGTATGTCAAATTGCATTTTTTTAAAAAAACATTTTATTTATTTGAGAGAGAATGAGCATTAGTGGGGGGGGGTGGAGGGAGAGGCAGAAGCAGACTCCCCACTGAGCATGGAGCCCAACATGGGGCTCAATCCCAGGACCCCGAGATGATGACCTGAGCTGAAGTCAGACGCTTAACTGACTGAGCCACCCAGGCGCCCCTATGTTAAATTGAATTCTGAACAACTTTAGGGAACCAAGGAAACCAGTAAGAAAATTACTGCAGCAGCCTAGGTAAGAAATGATGAGGGCTAGAATGAAGATGGTAGACAGGGACACAGAATGGATGGGTTTAAACATTTTCCAGGTCAAACAGACACAAGAATCTACTGACAGACTGGATACAAGGGATAAAAAGACAGATAAGAAGGCTGGTATCCAGGTTTCGAGCTTAATAAGTTGCGTGGTGCCACTTATTGAAATGGGTTAGAAAGAGGGTAAGAATAAGTCAAGGCAAATTTCAAGTAATAGTAAAGGAAACAAAAAAGCCCCCAAGGAATTAGAATATTTATGTGAATCTGGAAATTCTAAGGATGTAGAGACTGATGCAGTTTCAGAACTAACTGGATCTTGGTGTGTATGCTGTCAACTACACTTGCACTGGTTTTCATGGTACCAAGTAAAGTTTTGAAGATGAGAAACTAAAATATCTAAGTGGAGTTTGCTAAAGACTGAAACAGAATCCAAAGACACTCAGATTGACTATTTAAAACCACTACCAGAATCTCACCAAACACATGGTTTTTCTAACTTGCTTTATTTTGTTTTTTTTCCATCTTACAATTTTTCTACCACTCGTTCCAAAGAATGTACCATAAATCATTATCAGTCTTATTATTACTGAACTTTTGTTTCCAATATTTGTTGTTGTAGGAATATCATGAACATACTGCGTATATTTTGACTACTCCGATAAATCTTTAAGCTTAAGATTACTGCAGAGTACATTCCTTTCTGAAGATTGGTATTAACTGCTAAAGTGAACTAATTTGTACTTTCATTATTAGTGTGAGGTCTCTCTGCTCATAGATAATGAATATTATCAACTTTCAATATCCTTGGCAAAATGTCTACTTACTACTAATGAGATTGAAAGCTTTATCATATTTATTGGCCATTTCTATTCCTTCCTTTGTGCAGCCAGTCCATGCACCTGATGTATCTTGTCTAGGTTTTACATACCTTAGTGCTCTTTATGTAGAGAGAATTATATCTACCTTTTTAAAAAAATCACTGCAATTTTTTTCATTTAGAAGTTTAATTCTTATTTAGTCAAATATATCCTTTTATGCAGATCTTCCAAGGAAAGATATAGATCTTATAAGTTCTTTATCCAAGTTTGTTAAAACAAATAGTCATAAAATCACTCATATTGGTTTTCTATTAATGTAAATTCACTTATCTATAAACTCTGATTTAAGGCAAGAAATTCTTATAGTAAGAATTTTAAGTATTTTTGATATCAAAATTTAAGGATCTCCTCGTCCAATCTTTATGATGCTCTCAACTTTTAAAGATAGCTTCGCAAACATCAGGAAGGCTATTATAATGATGGTATCCAGCAAACAATAAAAAGGAACAGGTGGACCATTTACATTCATATAGCACAGGCACAATCCAAGTGCATCTATCTTTTGTTCAGCCCTTTCGTTACACAGATTACCTTCAAAGCAGGGAGGCTGAAACCATCTGTGAGGTTATGTGCTTCTTCTTCTGAAATATGCTCTTCACTAAGTCCCAGGCCCAGCTCCTTAAAAGGCACCGCACAGATGTAGTTGGTTACATTGTCACTCTCAGAGTTCAGGGGGTAGGTTAAATTAGGTTAAGGCAATCAACAAAGCCTTTTCATTAAAAAGTATAAAGGGTACAGTGAAACCATCCAAAATTACCTTTACTAGTCTTTATTCTAAACTTTGACTGGAGGTGATGAATGTCCATTAAAAAAAACAACACAAAACCCATCTTAAAATTTTCTATATTGGGCGCCTGGGTGGCTCAGTCGTTAAGCGTCTGCCTTCGTCTCAGGTCATGATCCCAGGGTCCTGCTCAGCGGGAAGCCTGCTTCTCCCTCTCCCACTCCCCCTGCTTGTGTTCCCTCTCTCACTGTCTCTCTCTCTGTCAAATAAATAAATAAAACCTTTAAAAAAAAAACCTACTATATTAACATACCTCAGGTATCTTACAGGATACCTGTGACTAAAGTATCTTTATATCTATCTAAAGAATTAAAAGTTCAATTCTTCACAAGTGCTAAAGTACTAACTTAGTTATTTTTGACAAGTACCTTTTGAAACTGTATTATGTACTTTATTGTATCATGGCTCAGTATACTACAGTAAAGACACCTCTCTTCCTCCCAGTGTGAACACTGCAGAACATCATTAGCACTAAGCCTGCTCTACCCCTGTAGTTCGACACAGACTATTGTTCTGGCTCTGCTTTCCTCTTCCTCATGGGCATCTATCAATTTACTATGTGATTTTTTCCCCCCTTCAACAGTTTTTGTTTTGTTTTTTAATGTAAGGGGAGGGGGAGGCACAGAGGGAGAAAGAGATTCTTTAGTAGGCTCCAAGGCTCGACGCCCAGCACGGAGCCTGATGTGGGGCTTGATCTCACAATCCTGAGATCATGACCTGAGCCGAAATCAAGAGTCAGATGCTTAACTGACTGAGCCACCCAGGCACCCCACCTTCAACAGTTTTTGTAAAGAATTATATGCATACAATTCTTGATACTGAACTATTTTTATATTTCCAGCATACTCTTATCTAGTCATACATAGAACAATATTTTAATATAGTGCTATAGTAAATCTATAAATATTCTATTTAAGTATTTTGTATCTCCATCTGTGAGTTTGGTCTAGTTTTAATTCTTTGTAATTTGTGTTTTGGTACTGCAATTGTAGAAATTTCATAAATAAAATGATGTAGGGGAGGCTTTCTAACCTTTTCTATGGTCTAAATAGTTTTTTGAAAAACTATAAAACCATCTGGACCTGATAGTTAAAATTTCTTTTATTCATTTAGTTTTTGAACATGTAATATATTCACAGGATTAAAAATTCATAAGGTATAAAAAATTCATAAGGTATTAAGAGGTACAGTAAAAACTACTTCCTACCCCTGTCCCTTAGCCACCTCATTCCCCTAGGCAAAGGCAAAAGTAATCAGTTATTAGTATCCCTCAAGATATTCTTATGCATCTTTCAAGATACTTTATGCATACAGGCATACATAAAAGCAAATCCAAATATAAATGTGTATGTGGGGATATGTATATATATGTACACATGCACACACACATTTATTCCCTCATATATATCTCCCATATACATATAATCTCACACATATACACACGTATATATACAATCCCTGTTATGCACAAATGGAAGCATAGTGTAAATAATGCTCTGTACACTTCATTTTTTTCAACAACATGATTTGGATATCATGCATCAAGAACTTTATCACTTTTTTATAGCTGCGAATTTTCCATTGTTTACATATAACCAGTTGTGTTTTTTTAAATGGAGTATTTTTTATCACATACCTAATCTCTTTAAGTTTTTTAATTCTTCCTAGGTCAGTTTTGAAGATTTGTATTTTGATAAGAAATTATCCATTTCCTTCTACATTTTCAAAGTTGCTGCCACAAAGTTGTATAAATTATCTCCTTATAATTATCTTAATTTCTTCCATATCTATGGGTACAGCTCTATTCCCATTACTAATTTTGTATATTTCTACTCTTTTTACTTTGATCAGGCATGTGAGGGTTTATACTTATTGGTCTTTTCAAAGAAATAGTTGGTGGATTCTTTTTTATTTTAATTCCCTACGGTTTTTTGTGTGGTAAATATGTTCCGGTCCCTGCCTACCTCCGAATCTCATCTCACACCCCAACTCCCAACTTACTGTGCTCGTCATGATGGCCCTCTTGCTATACTCGACTCATGCTAAAATAACTCCTGCCACAGATCTTTATGCTCCCTGGTTCATCAAACTGGAACATGATCCTTCTCCTCATTCAAATGTCAATTTAAAGGCCTCAAGGAGGCCTTCCCCTATGATCCAATCAAAAGCCTTAACCCACCAATCACTCTCTATCCTACTCTGCTGGAGTTTTTTACTTTGTAACAGATACGTGAAAAGCTCATGTGTTCACTTTTTATTCATTATCTCATCCACTAGAAGGTAAGAGCCATGAGGACAAGGATCTTATCTTTCTTGTTCACTGCTAGGTTCCTATTACCCAGAAAAGTGACTGGCACAAGAAACTCATAAATTTGCAATCATTGTTAGGCTATCCCTTTTCACTCCCTTACCCCTCACTAAACTCTAAGTACCGTGTCTATTATGTATACCACCATAAATCCAGTGGCTGGCATACTGCTTGGCACTGAGTTTATTCTCAATAAATATTTACTGGATGAGTAACTCCTTGAAGTGCACATGCCATACTACCATACCTTTATTTCTTTCCGTATCTTTGCTCCATTCTACTTGGAATGCAGACTCTTATTATCTGCAAGGTTAACTCCTCGAAAGCATTCTCTGACCCTGCCGGCCAAGTACATTGTCCTGCTATGCTGGAAGGCACCCTGGGCACTTATATTGTATTATGAATACCGGTTTATCTATTGAAAATACTCAAAAGTCTTTAAAAGTAGGTCATACAAGTTTTTACTCTATCTTTGTAACACATAGCAGGCAGGTATTTAGGCAGAGGGGGAACTGAATGGACAAGTTCATGACTAAAATTAAAATGCTTTCAATTTCCAAAGAACAGCTGGTACAGTTAAAAATATATACATAGAAAGATTTCAAGTCATTAAGTCCTATAGTCAAGACACAACTTCACAGGGGCGCCTGGGTGGCTCAGTCGGATAAGCGTCTGCCTTCAGGTCAGGTCATGATCCCAGGGTCCTGGGATCGAGCCCCGCATCGGGCTCTCTGCTCAGCGGAGAGCCTGCTTCTCCCTCTGCCTGCCACTCTGCCTATCTGTGCTCTCTATCTCTCTGTCAAATAAATAAATAAAAAATCTTAAAAAAAAAAAAAAAAGACACAACTTCACCTCTTACAAGTTATGTAACACCAAGCAAATCACAGAAAGTAGAGAGTTTATTTAGTTTTCCTACTAAAATGGAGACAAAAAGATCTACTTGGAAAAGTATATATAAAGATATGATAAAGCACTCTGTAAACTTCCAGCATTATATTTATCAGTGCTATAGTACCCAAAATACTGAAGGTACAAGTAGTATATTTGCATTTCATTTACTCATAATTTAAATGATCTATGAATCTGAACTGAAATAAAGATCCTATACACCTTTATTTCCTGATTAACAGAACTAATTTCCTGCTGTAGTAAAGTGAAGTGACAGACTTACTGTCATGCAGTCTCTGAGTGTTTATTATACACAAGACACTGCCTAAGCACTTTAGATGCACTAACTCATTTGATGTCAACAAAAACACAGTCAGGAAGAGTATGTTGTTATTGCCATTTTTAAAATGAATAAAGCAAGTTAAGAAACTTGCTTACGGTCACCTAGGCAGTAACTGATACAGCTAAAATTTAAACTTAGCCAATCTGACTTGAGAGCCTCTGTTTTTTGAAAGGGGAAGGATTTCCTGTTACCAGTTTATTTCCATGTCATGACGCAAATTTGCCAGGTCCAGTAGCTTTTAAAAATGTCAGACCTAGAAAAGCCAGATTCTTCTGACTTTATTCTTTGGACCAGTAATGGGAGAGCCTTTGAGTTTTTTCCTTGTTGAAACTGAGCCACACGAGAACAGAAAAACCTTCTTCCTGTCTGGTATTGTTATTCCCCCCAGAATGCTTTTCCAGTTTTAAAATAGGAGTGATGATGGAAATTAGCTTCAAAATAGACGATCTCAGTTTACACTTAACTTTTACAGGATGCAACTATACTATCTATATTCATGACTCTGGAAGCATATTTATTCTTACATATAGACAGAAAAGGATATTTTTTCAGCATATATAGGGTAGCTAGCCTTGCTGCTTGGAAGTTGGCTCTTACAGTTCTGTAGACCGCTTTCCGAAGACCGATGAGATGCTGACTGGGATGCTGTCCAGCTTTATTAAATGGGCAAGCAGCACTGACCCTGTCAAGCAAACTTGAAAAGTAAAATGTGATACAACTGTACCGGTGTCCTAAAGTTTTTGTTTCCTAAATCCACAATTCTATTAAACTTAGAAAAAAAATCCTTTATCGTGGTTTTTATAGAAAATGATTGTAAATATCCCAACTCAGGTCCCACACATAGCCATTTCCCAGATACATATATTGTCACCAAAAAGAAAAGACAAATGAAAAATTAAAATCTCGAAGAGTAAAGGCTTCTTTTGATATGGGGAAACAATACATTTTATTCAAAATATAGTAGAAAGGTAAAGAATACTTATGTGAGACATTGCAATTTTTTGATACAGACATTCTACTTGCTAAAATATACTAAAGTGGTACTACTTTACATCCAGTTGTCAAAACCCAAATCTATAATAAGTATGAAAGCCTTAATTACAAATACTTTTACATTCTTAATATGCATTTATGTATGGTCACCAATCATACTTTTGGTCACTTGTACAGAACAATCAAATACTTTATAGAAATACATTCTGTACATTCATAGAAGTAGGGTAGAATGACTTACCCACCTGCTGCCACTGGCACTTACCTACTCAAAATGAAGTAGGGGACGCAGGGAGATAACAGGACCAGTGGCCAACAGGGGAATGCAAGTAGAAAGGCAAAGGAAGGGTTACTAGGTAGTGGCAAAGCTTCTCTCAAAGCTATTCAAGAGGAAGCACATTTCATAGCACTTTCCAAAAGAGAAATGGGGAGTACCTATTTGCAACAATGAAGTAGATCATGCTTTTATAAATGAAATGAAAAATAATTACATATTACACAGCTATGGGATAATAGTTTTTTCACCTAACCAGTAACTTCTCCCAGTAGCAAAGTAAAATATTAGAATTTATAAATTTCTTACACTATAACCACAAATTTGCAAAACATCTAACTCAAAACTCTTAAAATATTGAACCAAACTAAAATATATTCAGGCATTAAAAATCTATTTAAAAAACAGAGGACAATGGACTGTCAGGCTTATTTTAAAATAACAAAATGAGGCAAAGAATTGTTAAATTCTTTGCTAGAAAGGACAAACTGAGGCGAACAAAAGAGGGTATGTTTTCAATATATGGCATTATTGTGTGAGTTTCATTTTACTAATAAATCAGTTTTAAAGATGAAAATATTTCTAAAAAAGTTATGATTCAAGATTCATTATTCCTCATAATTTTTTCAATCCATTATCCAGTTAGATGGAAACAAGTGAAACAATTTTGCCAACATTTCTTTAGCCTGCCTGCATGTCAATGGATAGAAGTCATAATCCAGAGGTCAATCATGTCTAGCTGGCCCATTTTAGTTCTTCATGCCAATTCTATACATAATTCCATAATGTAAGTTGAAAAATGACAAAAAGCACAGAATCCCCTATACATGCCTAAGCATTAATTGGACACAGAGCCACGTTGCTTAACCAGTCAGTCTTCTCAAATGAAATACTGTGCAAATCAAGAATGAAAAGGAGTTATTACTTAGTGTTGTTTTTAACTTTTAAAATCTAAATGTTCAAACAACTTAATATTTGCTATGCTCTACCAACAAGTAGACTTTAAGTACAATATGAATGACAAAAATTCAGAGAGCTATGACATTTTGAATTGAGCAGAAAGAGAAGTTATAAAATCTCTCTCATGGCTCGAGATTGTTTAAACACTGTTCTAGAACACAACAGAGTGAAGAATGAGATGACTACTGGAGATTCTTCCACTTCCTGTTTCGTGATTTTCCACATACGGCTTTTCCATCAGGACTGTTTAAGTTATTCTTAATAAGCACGGCAGAGTGAAGAACGAGTTGACTACCAAGGTTCTTCTGCTCTCCCTTTCCGTGATTTTCCAGGTATAAGTAATTAAGAGTAATAATTATTCTTCACCATGTACTTGCTTTCTCCCGCCTACAGATTACAAAGGTTATAGGAGTTAAATAAATTGTTAAATATACTACAGTACAACTGTCATTTGTTAGTGGTTAGCAGGCAGCCTAGTGCACCAGGAAACGCTCAAGAGTCAGGTGGAATGGATCTGAACATTTGCTCTACCACGTGTAATTGCAGGCTTTTGGTTATATGCAAAATTACCTAGCACAGTATTTGGAACATAATGGTGCTCAATAAATATAACTACCCTTATAATAATAGAATAATATCCTATATATCCGGTAGCTTAATATTTAAGTAAGACTAGACTAGACTGGTGAATATTTAATTTCCTGTGAGAATGTGAAACATCATTATTTGCCTGATACTCTGAGAGTATTAGTGCTATAATACCTGCTAACATTTACTTAAAGAATATTATTAATGCATGGCAAAATTTTTCAAAATGAATTCAAGTCCAATACATCTATCATTTAAACTGAGGAAAGAGAGCAACTGGCAGAGAGTAAAGAAAGCAAACATTTGTTGGGTAACTTTGCATGCTAGGTTCCATGTTAGGCTCTCTCTATTATCTCATAAAATAATCACATTAGAACACAGAAATAATCATAATTCTCAAAGCTCTTTGGTTTCTCAAAGTAGATAGGCAAAATCATACTACATATTAAATCCAGCATATAATGTATTTGTTCCTTCACAGTTAAGAGACTTTAGTAAGTGCCTAAGAGAAACCTACTTTTTTCTATAACTGCAACACAGAAATGAAAATAGGTAATAAATATTCTAATTTAACTATGTAGTAGAAAAGAATTATTTAAAAAATAAAATGAAAAATGAACTCACAGTGTAAATCCTCTGGAAATGACTTCAGTTTCTTGAATGAGACGTAAAGCTTTTCTCACAAGGTTAGTAAAAGCTCGGCTATTTGTTGCTGTATCTTCTAAATGGACATTGTATTTTTTTAGAGTTACTTGTAGTTTGGCTGTTGTCCATAATCTCAAAGCTTTTACGATCAGAAAAATAAACAGAATCACTCCCCATACCAGCCAGGAAGATACAATCCACCAAGTGGGAAGCATAATGAGCAAACTAATGAAGGCAAACAGCACTGAGACATCCCTATAACAGAGAAACCAAGAAAATGATATCCATCAGACTAGAGAAAGATGTGTAATTTAGGTTTACTACAATAGATAAATGCTAGCTCCTTTGTAAAGTGTGACTTAAAAAAATATGACATTTAAACAAGTAATGTGAAATCGTTTAAAAATATCTAGCAAATAAACAATGGTGCTTAGGTATTAAAATGTGAGCTAAGTTTAGGTAAAGGACATAAGTAATAGGTATCTTCTGAAATGATTCTTTTTTTTTTTTTGAAGATAGGGACTCTTCTAACCTAAAAACAAAGTAGAGTTTAAAATCCAATTTTATAAATTTAAAAGTAAAAATGATTTTTACTATTTTTAATATTAAAATACATCTTAATATTGTCATACTATGAGTTCTCTTCCTAAAGTCAGATACTAATTATTTGCACAGAAACAAATATCTCAAGAAAATATAAGTATTTTTCCAATAGAACTAATATATACTCGAGTAATTGTTTCAGTAAAGTCAACTAATTTTAAATAATCATCATCAATCTGGAATACACATACTTACCACAGCCCATAATATGCACAAACTTTGTACTTTTACAATGCTTTAAGTAAAAATATATATGCATTTTTTTTCTCTAGGTTAATTACAAATCTACAGACTAAAACACATCTTTTAAGCAATGAAGGCTTTGATAAAAATATATGTAAGAAAGAGGTGACTATAGGGAGATGTGTCTCAGGATATCTAAAAAAAATCAACAATACTTGAAGACAGTTATAATCAAATTATAAAGTCACATATAAGAATGCTTCCTACTAAATATTTACCTGTCCCAATTTCCCTTGGAATACTTTACTTTCAAATGATACTGGTAATATCAAAGCAAAATCTCATCATTATACTTTCATGCATTAATAGCAAAGTCTAAAAGTATTTACAGGCCTCAGGGTTGCTTAATCACACCTGTGCCTATAGGAAACTTGAGAGTTAAAGCTGTAAAATTCTTTAAACCCTGGTTCCTTCTAGCAGTTCCTTGCATTCTTATATTTGTAAAGGGTAAGACGCTTTACTTCATCATGATGCTGAGTGACTACAGATTTGGAAGACATACTTTGCTACCTGTTACAATATGAAGCATTTGTAAATGTGACAGGAAAGACGGATAAATTCAGAAATCTGAGGCCAATGTTATGTAACTACCTATATAACTTGAATAGTTCAAGCAGTGATTTTGTTCACTTAATAAACTCATACTTTAATAGGAAGAGGACATGAACAGTTCTGTATATAAATCCCTTTTTGCTATTCTTTCTAAAAACATGGCCTGGGACTTCTGCATTAGACCCAAATACTTCAAGTAGTCGAAAAGTTTTAGGACTGAACTGTCAGTCTATTCTCTATGGCTTCTCAGCCAACAAAGCAAGACCTGACTGTTTACCTCCATGTCCCATCCTATTTTTGATGTTTCTATAATGCATTTATGATATAATCTATTAATTATAAAGATACATAAGTGGCTAGGACTGCATGCACACACATATATAGGTATACGGGTAAGAGAGATCCTTGGGGCACATGTTATGCCTGCTTGTTGGGTTATTAAACACAGAACTAATTATACTGAATTAAAAATATGTAATAATTGGATTTTTTTCCAGCTTCACTTTAAACAGTGTTTACTTTAGAAAGGTACTTTTTTTTTTTTTTAAACCTTTGGGGTATCATTACATTAATTACAACGTTAAAATGTATGGAATGTTTATAGTGTCTTTACAACAGAGAACAAGAAGATGGATTTCCTCTGCTAATACCATATATGTAAGCAAGGGATAGATGTTTTCTGGACAGTACCAAATATTAGGGGTTGCCAGGGAGCAAAGTGTTGGAAGGTGTCCATTTTCCTGTTGTTGAGGTTGCCCTGCAGACAGGATACTGGGATCAAGTAGCTCAATCAGCTCCACATCCTCTTGTAACAGGACTTCCTGTTGCAGAATGGTATGTAGTGAGTCGAGTCGGAATCCAATATCCTTGCCATTAAAAAAACGGAAGAGAGACATTATTACATACATAATTTTGTATTAAATGTTAAGCTCCTAATGTGCTAACAAAATTTAGGGTATTTATTTTCAGTATAGCCTCCAAGAAGAAGATACAACAGTTCAATCTATCTTTAGTATGATGTATGGGATTTTAGTTTCACCGTAAATGTGAAACAATAAAGACTGAGATGGATGTTACTGAGCCACCAGATGTAAAATATAAATTTTTAATAAAGAAATGTGAAGTAACTAAAGACGAATAAACCTGCCTAGTTAAGTCTAATTAATTAAATTGTTGGAACAGAGCATGGAAACTATAATCCTGTAACATAAGATGCTGTCCCTGGATACTGTAATAAGATAGCCAATACAGTGAGAATTACATCAGTAGGATCCAGGCCTTCTAAAAACGGACATTCAGATATTGAAAACACAACACTGAGGAATGTAATGCAAAACCACACTAATATGTGCATTGCACTTTATAGTTTACAAAATGCTTTCACATATACTAGCTCATTTATTCCTTCTTCTTTTCCTTCTATCTATCAAAAAATATTATATATACAACAAGAACCATGCTTGACACCAAGGGCACGAAAAATGAGCATAACATACAAGTCTCTACTCTCAAAGAGTTCACAGTTTAATGAAGAGGACTGAAAAGTAAACAGTCACAACATAATGTGCAAAGAAGTGCAATGAGGTATACCTGGGTTATTATGAAAATGGCACAGAGGAACCAAAACTTGTAATGAAGTCAGAGAAAAGAAAAGCGGTGATGCCTGAGCTGAGTCTTAAAGTATGAACAAGAATTGACCAGATGAAACAGTTGGAAGAGGGGGATGGGAAGAACAAAAGCCTCTTTAGAACTGCAAGTCATTGCTTTTAGTTTTACATAGAGTGTACATGGTAAAAAGGTGAGAGATGAGGGGCACCTGGTGGGCTCAGTAGCAGGAGTATGCAACTCTTGATCTCAGGGTTACAAGTTTGAGCCCCATGTTGAGGGTAGAGATTACTTAAATAGATAAATTAAAAAACAAAACAAAAACAAAAAAGGTGAGAGATAAAGTAGCAATATTAGAGTACACAGGTTAACTTTCACAGTAACCCCCACAATGTACTCCTCTCTGTTCTATAGGGGAGATTTTCATCCTCCTCTCTGTTCTATAGAGGAGAAACTAAAGCCCAGAGATTAAGTAGCTGGCCAGAATTCTGATTTCAAATCCTAAGTCTCTGGTAATCAATTATACTTCCCTATATAGAGTCTGCCGTATGAGAAAATTTGAAGTTTTTATTATGCATTAAATTTAAGAACAGAATGATCCTATTATAAGATAAAAATAAAGAGAACTTTTAATGGACAAGGCCTTTAGCTATTAAAGTAAAACCAATTAGGTCTAGGGTTTGAAGACAACGGGTTTGTTCTTCTTAGCCAGTTAATCATTCCCACACAAGAGCCTACCTACCCTGCCTAAGCTGATCATAATGGGGACTAAATAGGAATGCAGTGATCCATATATCCAACTATGAGTGCATATCTTGTGTGTTATACATCACTTTTAGAGAAGGAGAAGAATGTTTTAAATTAATATTAGCCCTATACTAACATATTTATTTTTTCTTTTTTAATTTCTTTTTCTTTTTTTTAAAGATTTTATTTATTTATTTGACAGAGACAGAGAGCGAGAGCAGGAACACAAGCAGGGGGAGTGGGAGAGGGAGAAGCAGGCTTCCCACTGAGCAGGAAGCCCAATGCAGGGCTCGATCCCAAGACCCTGGGATCATGACCTGAGCTTAATGACTGAGCCACCCAGACCGCCCCCTTTTTCTTTTTTTAAAGAAAGCTCTACACCCAGGGGTGCCTGGGTGGCTCAGTCGGTTAAGTGTCTGCCTTGGGTTTGGGTCAGGAAGCCCCGCAATGAGCCCTGCATCACGCTCCCTGCTCAGCGGGGAGTGTGCTTCTCCCTCTGCCTCTCCCCTCACTCATGCCTGCACACTCTCTCTCTCACTGTCTCTCTCTGAAATAAACAAAATCTTTAAAAATAAGTAAAAAAAAAAAAAGATCTATACCCAATGTGGTATAGATCAAGAATCATATGATCTACTGACTAAGCCAGCTAGGCACCCCTTTATTAATTTTTAATTATCTATTATTTCTTGTCTTTTTGATACCAGCCATTCTGACAGGTGTAAGGTTATATTGTGGTTTTGACTTGCATTTCCCTGATGATTAGGGTGTCGAGCATCTTTTCATGTGCCTCCTTTCTCTTCTTAGAATCATGATTCTAGGGGTGCCTGGGTGGCTCGGTCAGTTAAGCGTCCAACTTTTGATTTTGGCTCAGGTCATGACCTCAGTGAGATTGAGCCCTGCCTTGAGTTCTGTGCTCAGCACGGAGTCTGCTTGGGATTCTCTCCCTCTCTCTCCTAAATAAATAAATAAATAAATAAATAAATAAATAAATAAATATCTTTAAAAAAAATCAGAATTCTAACATTAGGAACCAATTAATTAATTGACACTCCACCTCACTTTTTTTTTTTTTTTTAATATTTTTTATTTATGCATTTGACAGAGAGAGACACAGCGAGAGAGGGAACACAAGCAGGGGAGTGGGAGAGGGAGAAGCAGGCCTCCCGCCAAGCAGGGAGCTTGATTCGGGGCTTGATCCCAGGACCCTGGGATCATGACCTGAGCTGAAGGCAGATGCTTAACAGACTGGGCCACCCAGGTGTCCCAGGTACACACTCTTTAACACCATCCTTGTCATCAGACCTGTCTGAAAAACTGGGATAATGTTTCCTCAAAACTATTGTGCTTTAAGGCAGTACTAATAGCTTTAGGAATATTTGATTCAAGAATGTGACAACCTGGGGCACCTGGGTGGCTCAGTTGGTTAAGTGACTGACTACCTTTGTCTCAGGTCATGATCCCAGGGTCCTGGAATCGAGCCCCGCTCTGGGCTCCCTGCTCAGTGGGGAGCCTGCTTCTCCTTCTGCCTCTCCTCCTGCTTGTGCTCTGTCAAATAAATAAATAAAATCTTTAAAAAAAAAAAAAAAAAGAATGTGACAAACTAACCACCTATAATCACCCAAACATACAAATAAACTTGAAAGTGACAAGACACTCTAACTAATGCAGTATTATCTAGTAACTCAACTACCTCTAGAAAGGAAGAATTTGAACTATATTCTAATCATAGCTATAAAATTAAATCAGATTAAATCGATGAATTAAAAATTTTTTAAGGATAAATTCTAAAACTGTATATTTGCAATATGGCAATCAAATTAGTGGAAAAATAGACATCTGCTGATGTTAAGAAACATTCGCAATAACTTTATTTGGACTCAGGTCTAAGTCTCAAAATAAATGAAGATTTAAAAGGTACTAATTCTGATTGACTGAATATTAGTAGGTACCATCTGTATGGTTGGGTGTTCCGTGTTGTGGGGAGGTGTACCACGTGAACTCTGGCTCACCCTCAACAAGTTTGAGTGCAAGATGCAGTTAGTACCTAGGTTTATATCCTGGTTCTACATCTTAAGTTAATAACTTTTCTGTTTTAGTTTCCTCATCTGCAAAATGAGGGTAAGAATAGTACCTACTTCATAGGATTGTTGTGAGAATTAAGTAAGTCAATATTTATAAAATATTAAGTGTCTGGTGCACAGTAAACATTTACATAGTAGATACTATGTGTTAGCTGTTAATGTTGTTAGTACACATGAAATAATTACAATAAAGAAAAGCACACATAATACGATACAAAACCTACAGAACATAGCATGGATAATTATTACTACATTGTTGAAGAAAATAAGAGATCCAATACGCTGAAGTTTGTGGGAAAGGTCTTGAGGAAGAGCTAGGACTGCTTACTGAAAAGACTGCAATAAAAGAGAAAAAAATGGAAAGAATTCTACCATAGTATAATAGCACAAACACAGACATACAGAATAGATATGGACTAAAAGAAAAGGAAGACTGGGTTGGCTGATGAAAATATTGGCTGGAAAGGTAGTTTAGGGCCAAATTATGCAGACTCTTTCATGCTGAAGTGATGAACTAGACTTGATTCAATGGGTAACAGGATTCTTTTAAGGATCTAACCGGAAAAATGGTATGAGAAGGTAACTCAGAAGATATCTGCCTGTATGGAATGAAAGGGTGTGAGAAGCACAGCTAAACAATAGAGAGATTTCTGTTTTTACCCCTAGGGATAGAGAAGGGAACTATTCATGTGTCAATATATTTCAATGATCTTATATATTTTTTAATATATTGTGCTGTTTCATAAAGCTGATGAGGACCAAATGAGATAACATGTGTGAAAGCACTTTACAGGCTAACACGTGCTTAAAAAGTGCTAATACCCCTACCATTATAGTTGTTATAAAAGAACTTTTTTTTTAATCTTTAAGAAGTACTACTTTAATAAAAAGGAATAATGGCAAAAGGTTCAGCTATCATGGAGCAACTGCCAGTATTTTTATAAAAGGAAAGAGGGACTGTTTCAATTTCTGTATAGCCAACAAAATTTTAAATATGTCACAATCAAAGGAAAAGTCAACCATCTCATGCCAGAAGCCACAGGGTAATTCCTTGTTCCATTACTAGTAAATGATTTCTCTGGCATGTACTTCTTACAGTTCTCTATAATATAAGCACAAAAGAGAGGCGTAGAGAAGCTGGCACTTTACAGTGAAACATGTGGCCAGTGACAAAGGACCAAGAATGAAAAGATCAGGACTATGTAGACTACGACTAAACCACAGAAAAATGTATATGGATCCATATACCTTACCACAGTCCTAGTATCACTGAAGAATGAGGATGGCTCCACCTGGATAGAGATGATATTCTACGCAGGTGACAAGACACTTCATTGACCTTCTCAATATACCTACAAAGATGAAACCCTGAACAGAGAACTTGCCCATTTGGATTGCTAAAAAAGTAATTTTAGTCAGTCAATACGTAATAATACTCAAGCTAGAGAGGTAGTATGTTATAATGGAGAGCCTAGGCTTTGAAACAGGAGACCTGAGTTCAAATTCTAACTCTATCACTTTCTAGTTGAACATTCTTGAACAATTCACTTACTAAGTATTCTTAAACCAAACTGAACTGTCTGAATCTCAGGCTTTCCAATTGGTAAAATGCACTAACCTTACAGTGTTTGGAATACCAAACCAAAATGTGAAAGCACTTTGTAAACATCTCTTTACAAATGGTAATTTACAAGAATGATAATTATCTTAAGGTCATAGGCCAGCATAGGATCCTGAAATCTGCTTACTTGTAACTTGATTACTCCTTCTGAGAGACATGAGAACTTCATAACTTCAATTTTTTAGCTATACTATTTGGATTCTGCATTGCTTAGGATGCACAAAGTTGAAGTATCCCTCCTGGGGGTCAGAGGTCAAACACCAGATCTATTACCGTAGAGAGTAGGGGGAAAAAAAAAAAGCAAGCCTCACAGGAATCACAAAGATGATTTGTGATCATGGTCACAATTCCAAGTCTTTGGGAAATTCTGTGATTAGTCTTGGGAGATTAAATCTTATATATGAAGTTATCAGAGAATGGTAGATCAATGATAAATAAATTAGGGGGGAACGACTTTGATTTTGCCCAAACTCTGTAATCTTAGACTGTGGGATAAGGATGCAGACAGTCAAGCTCCTAATGAAAAGGGAGAAGATCTTACTAATGGATATATTCCTTTCCCTATTGAGAGGAATACTTGTCAGTGGAGGAAGATGGCAGCAGGAAATCAGTAGTCTAACAAATAAGGTATCAATAACTACCAGAATATTCTATTCTAAATGGCTAACAACCTCTTGGAAGAACTATGAATTCAAATTCATATATCCACTTGGAAGAACTATGAATTCAAATTCAAATATCCACAATTATTGAAGAACTTCTTGTTGATTTTTTTTTTTTAGGTGATACCAACAAACTTTTAACACTTCATGAAGTAGGCAGTCTCCTTTCAGAGAACTGCCCAGAATTTCTATTTAGAATCAATCACTGCCCAAATCAGTAGCAAAACAAATTCTGATTCATTAGATTCTGTCACTAGTAAACTGGAGCCCTGAAAACTGACAAAAAGAAGTAGAGCAAACACTTACCAACTTGTGAAGTAAGTCATCTTTCTTATTGTACTGAGAAAAAATCCAACTTTTGATGGTTTCAGCCACTTTTAACAGGATGCCTTGCTGAAGGAGATGAATGACATTGTATAGGATTTATTAAATCACACCCAAACAGCAGAAAAAGTCCAAATAACTTACTTCTAATTAAGAAGAAAAAATTCAGAATTTTTATTAGAAAAAGGGAGAAAAAAATCACCTAGGTTATATCCTTTGTCAATATGTTCAGGCTCCTTAATAATTCCCAGATTTACTTGCACATCAGAATCACCTGGAAATTTTATTTAGAAATATTCTTGGGACCTCAATCTATAGGTTTAGATTAAGTTAAAATTAAGTTTTGAATGAGACCTGAAAGCAGATTTTTTAAAGAGCACTCAGAAGAATTCTTAATCTCAGGAAACAAACTGAGGGTTGCTGGAGTGGTGGAGGGTGGGAGGGATGGTGATGGACACTGGGGGATGGACACTGGGGAGGGTCTGTGCTATGGTGAGCGCTGTGAATTGTGCAAGACTGTTGAATCACAGATCTGTACCTCTGAAACAAATAATGCAATATATGTTAAGAAAAAAAAAAAAGAAGAAGAAGAAGATAGCAGGAGGGGAAGAATGAAGGGGGGGAAATCGGAGGGGGAGACGAACCATGAGAGACTATGGACTCTGAGAAACAAACTAAGGGTTTTAGGGGGGAGGCGGGCTGGGGGGATGGGTTAGCCCAGTGATGGGTATTAAGGAGGGCACGACTGCATGGAGCACTGGGTGTTATATGCAAACAATGAATCATGGAACACTACATAAAAAAATAAATTAATTAATTTTTTTAAAAAATAAAAGAGCACTCAGAAGTTATCCTAATGCAGCCCATTTACTGCGTACACTATATACTAGCTATATCAAGATGATGATAGTATGTGTTTCAAAATGAAAACCAGGGGTGCCTGGGTGGCTTAGCTGTTAAGCATCTGCCTTCGGCTCAGGTCATGATCCCAGGGTCCTGGGACTGAGCCCCACGTCGGGCTCCCTGCTCAGTGGGAAGCCTGTTTCTCCCTCTCTCACTCCCCCTGCTTGTGTTCCCTCTCTTACTGTGTCTCTCTCTCTGTCAAAAAAATAAATAAATAAAATCTTTAAAAAATAAAATAAATGAAAACCATAGGATGCTCCAAGTTCTCAAATACTAAGAACATTTCATTCCACAATGCTAAGGCAGAGAGACATTTTAATCAATTTTAGAAAAAGTGTCTCATATTGAAATAAAAGTTGTATTACTGAATCAACCAAAAATTAAAATTACCTTAATGTTAATAGCCCATTTCCATGCTAGTAAATGGAGTTTATATTCATTGAGTGGTTACTATATCCCAGGTACTGAAAAAGGGTCATAGGAACAAAGATGAATACACATAACTGCTGTTTTCAAGAACTTAGTATAGAAGAGATGGTATAAATAATTACAAAACAAAGTAAAGTCTGGGAAAGTGTGGGAAAAAAGGTCAAGAGGTGCTAACACTGAAGCTGTGCCCTAACAGATGAGCAGGAATTTAACAAAGGCGGGAAGAACATTCTGGGCAAAAGAACAGGACGAAGAAAGGGCACAGCCATGGAAGCACGTCACGGGCATGGTGGCAGAGCCTGGGACAGGCTAAGACCCAAGGAAAGAAGGGAACAGTAATGATCACTGAGAGCAGTTTTAAAGGACTTTGGTCTTAAATGCCTTAATAGTTTAGACTTTATCCTGTAGGCTGTGAGGAGCCACCAAAGATTTTTAAGCAAGGAAATGAAACAATAAAAATCAGCATTTAAGAAAAATAACTGGCTACAGTGTAGAGGCAATACTAGCAGGAAATGACTGTAGCCAAGAAGCCTGATTAGGAGGATATTTAATAGTCTAGCTAAATAATGACAAAGGCCTCAAGTAGGGTAGCAAAAAATGGTAATGGATGAGGGTTGGATTTTAGAGACATAAGAAGTTCACTTGATATATCATTTAGTGACCAAATTAATGTGCGAGCCATAGGAAATCTTAAGATAACTGAGAGTGGTAATTTGGGAATATGGAAAGAATATTTTATTTGTTTTATACATATGAATCTGAGTTTCCTGGGGCACAGGCCATGTGAAATGTTTAAGCAACGTCCAGAACTCAGTGAAGATGGAGAATACACACAAGTAGCCAATGAGGGCAAGAAAGTAGATGAGATCACTCATAAAAACAGACCAAGAGAGAAGAGGCCTGATGTTAAAACTTTATGGAAGGAACATTTAAGAATAATCACAGGAGGGCACCTGGGTGGCTCAGTCGTTAAGCGTCTGCCTTCGGCTCAGGTCACGATCCCAGAGTCCTGGGATCAAGCCCCGCATCGGGCTCCATGCTTGGCAGGAAGCCTGCTTCTCCCTCTCCCCCTCCCCCTGCTTGTGTTCCCTCTCTCACTGTGTCTCTCTCTGTCAAATAAATAAAATAAAATCTTAAAAAAAAAAAAAAAAGAATAATCACAGGAAAAGAAACTAGAAAAATATACAGAGAATGAATATTGATGGTGAGAATACCAGTAAGAGTACTCAGTAAGTACTCACAAGAACATTAAAAAATGGTGATGAAGGCTAATGACAGTTTCATCACGATCTCTTATTATACAAAAACTTTGCTTTCCAAAGAAAATAACTGGTACTTTACTGCTTGAACAGCACTTTGGGGGCGATTCTAAAAATATATCCCCTGAGAAGGAACTAAATAATACAACAAATCTTTCTAAAATTCAGCTGTCCCGGATTTAGAAAAACTCCATTTTAGAAAAATATAGCTCATACAGTTGAAATAATATGAAAACTAAAAGAACTTTCTAGACGTGTGGTAATTTTGAAAAACATTTTCTGGCTATTTCTCAATTTCTGAGGACCAGTAAATCTTAAACTCTCATTTTATTTATTTATAAATTAATAACACTTCTATATGTAAAAATACATATCATAAATGAAAAGGATTAAATACCTTTAAAACCCAAGTTTGAACAACAAAAAAAGGCCAATGCCCATATCCCGCCTAAGACTATCCCTTGGCCCATTCTTTGTCTTTTGTTGCCAAGTAATCTCAAATCCAAGTTTTAATCTATAAATAACCTATTAGCCATATCGTTCAGTTTTGCTTTCAAAACTCTTCCCAGGAACATTCACATTTGAAAGGGGCAGAGAGAATAAAGAGTTTAAGTCCAGAGGACTAGCAAACTGGTTCTGATCCATGTAAGCTCTAACTCTCTAATTCCTACCCTGTAAGTATCAGTCAAAAAAACATTTCTCTGGTATCTATTCTACTCTTGCAAATGGGCCCAGCTTGGTTACCTCACATTTTAGGGGTTTTTCTAAGAAAAGGAGAAAAGAGACTTCCCTCTCTATCACCACAGAGTAAACAACTAATTGAAAACTTTAAAAGCCTCCTCGAAAAAATAATGATGTCTTGTATATAATAAAACACTGATTAAACTAGAATGCTCAAGAAATGAAGTAATCTGGTTTATTTTTTCTATTAAATTAGAATTCCTTTCGTTAAAACTGAAATATTTTTTTTTATTTTATTAAATATGGCTAATAGAACATAAATGAATCTAGTAAATACGTTTTACAGAACATAATTAGTGGAGATTCTTCCAGTATCTCAGCCTTGCAATGTTGTAATCAACTGAAATATTTATTGCATAAGAGGATACTGCCTAGATATAAAGGGCATCACAAACTGAGGTAAATATACCCACTCCATCACATATCCTTGAAATTGCTCATGAAATATGTTATCAGTTTGCTTTCTTATAACTTGTGCTCTCTTTTAAAAAATATGCAAAGAAAAAAATTCTAATTAATATAAAAGTCCTAATGGTTGAGTTCTCATTAAGGTTTTAGTATATTTTTCTGGTTCCCTCCAAACAACTTCAATATTTTAAGAAATAATATATTTTAATCCTCAACCATATTAATTAATTTCCATTCATTATAGAAATTACTACGACAGTCCAAAACAGTAAGGACTTATATTTATCTAAACAGTTTTGTACTACTGATGAAATAAAAAATAAAGTCTTATCAGAGTCAGAAAGGACATGGAGGTGCTTATAAGGTTTTTTGTTTTTGTTTTTTTCACAAGGGTAAGGGTTAAGGCAGTTTAAATATCAGTGAGGTGAAGAACAAAAGATTAAACATAGAGAATGAACATGCTTTCTTACTTTTGTCAGGGCTCTTGCAGGATGCTTTTGTTGTCTCTCTGTCACTGTGCTTTTTTCTGGTTTTGGTGACAGAGAAGAGCATATTTCAAAGTCTGTGTGTCCCAGATCCTGTAAGTACTGGTAAAGTGGAGAATTCTGAAAGAGACATATAAAATAAAGCAAATTTCAATATCATTACTATTTCAAAAATTTTAGAGGCCGATCCAACACCAAACTTCACTATCATGACCAGTATACACAAATTCTTTAAGGCTTCATCTATTAAAAAGTGAATTATCTGTCACAATGTTATCTAACATTAAAAAAAACCCTAAAAACAAACTACAAACAATTCAACAGAGGGACCCAAAAAAGGAAAAACTCTAAACACAGATTTTTCTGAGTGGGTACCAGCAAGAAAAAATGAATTTAGGAATATAAATAGATTTGTTAAGCAATTTCTTTGCCCAAATATTTGTAGTATTAGAGTAGATTGCTTCAAAATAGCCAAGCCTGGCTATAGATAGCTCGTAAGAGGGCCTACAGTGGAAAGCAGTTATTACTTGAAGCCAAGAATTAAGCAATGATTATATACTGCACTAATTATAATTTTATCATACCATCATATTCATTAATTCATTCAAGCACAAATATGTATTATCTACCACACACCCAGCACTGTAAACAAACTTAAAACTCCAAGAAAGTTACCTAAAATAAGCTGTATCTTACATACAACCATATGGCAAACGAGACTCTGTGGCTAATAAAAGCATTAGAACATGGTGGTTAAGAACACAAACTCTGGGGCCAGACTATAGGTTCAAATCCCAACTGTGCCTCTTACTGGCTAAGTATCCTATGACAGTTTATAATCCTGTGTTTCAGCTGTCTCATCTTAAAATAGGAATAATAATAAGACCTAGTTCATAGGGCTCTTATATGGACTAAATATTTACAAGCACTTAGAACAGTAACTGGCCCATAGTAATCACTCAATTTACACTTCAACTTTAGATAAGCCAGGTGAAAGCGCACAGGTTTTGGAACAGACCAAAAAAACCCCCAAAAACAAACAAACAAACAAACAAACAACAAAACAAACTCCAATCCCATCAGATACATAAGCATCACTGTTACATGAAAACCTATGGGACAAATTTCTGGATAAACAGCAAGCTTTAGTTTTAACTTTCAGCCTTCTCTAAAGCACAAAGCTGGTAACATGTTTAAAAATAAACCTTGACTCCATTCAACAAAAATATTTAATACTTAATTTAAAAAAGACCTTATGTTAGGTAGTCGAGATACAATAACAACCACCATCAAAACAATAGTATCAGCAACACAACTAACATAGTACCATGTGGCAAAAGCTTAACTAGCATCCTACTTGCACCATTTCACTTAAGGTTCACAACAAACTCTAAAAAAAGTATTATGATCATTGCTATCATTGTTATTGTTAATTCCCATTTCATAGAAGAGGAAACAGATTCACTCAGATACAGAAAGCAGGACAAGTCTGACTCCAAAGCCAACACTCCGAAATATTATATTATACTATCTAAAGTAACAAACAGTCCCTCCTGTGTCTAGAGAGGAAGACACCAGGGAAACTTCCTTATAGTTTAAAACAGAAACATCAAGCAAATCAATAATTACAGGATTGTATTGGATGCTATGGAAACAGAGGACAGGCAGTTAAATTAGACCAGTATTTTTAGGGAATATATCCCTGAGTTTGGGAAAATGAGGAACAGTGGGAATTTGCTTATACTGGTAGCAATTTGCTGGGTATCAATCTGAGAGAATAAAAGATACATAAAATGCCTCCTTTTAAAGCTATGTTTAATGCTCTTTTGGGAAAAAGAGGCAAAAGATTATAATAAAAGGAGGAATATGTTTCTTATCTCTCTATCAGACTTAAATCTCTGTTGGCACAAATGGTTAATTTTTGTATCACCCATAATGTATCTTCAAATACTACCTTGAATTACTCAAGTATTTCCAAAATGAATTGTGAACTCCTCCCTGCTCTGTCCCCAGAGTGGCAAAAGAACAAGAATGCTTGTTCGGTTGGGGCGACCTTTTGAAAAGTTTACACACTTAAAAAAAAAAAAAACAACAACACAAAGCTTGTTTTTAAGGCAGTAGAACCCTTTCTTCAATGAACTCCCATGGGGAAGAACAATAAATACGATGGATCAAAGTGGAGTTACTCTAATTCCAGGGTTGTCAAAGTTTTTCTGTAAAAGGCCAGACAGTAAATATTTCACACTTTGCAGGCCATATAGTCTCTCTCATAACTAATCAATCCTGCTGCTGTACTGCAAAAGCAGCTACAACAATACATAAACCAATGAGTGTGGTTATGCTCCAGTAAATATTTATGGAAATACTGAACTTCTTATAATTTCCATGTGTCACAAAATACCATTCTTTTGATATTTTCCCCAACCATTTAAAAACGTAAAGTCTACTCTGTGTTCACCAGTCACAGAAAAATAGGTGGGGAACAGAGGACAAACCTGGCCCAACAGCTAGTCTGCTGACTCCTGTTCTAATTAAATGCTCAGTCAATATATTGAGGCATATTCTTGATTGCTACCTGTTCCCTGGCAAGAGGCTTCATGGGTGGGGATGGGATCAAACTTCTTTTCATTCAAATTCTAGTACCTTTCTTACTACACACTTAACTGATGCTGTGTCAGCACTGACCCCAAAGTCCCTTCCTTTTCCAGTTTATGTCACAGCTCACAAAATAACAAAATGGATTATGTGTAACATACTTGTAAACGTGATTAAACAGAAGAGAAACAATGAATACTTTGTTCTCCATGTTCTGCACATCAACTAAGAGCATACATATACATACTCAGTTGGAAACACCATTAGCTGGAACACCTACTATTTGACATTTTGCAAAAACAGCAGCATTAATCATTTGCCTTGAATAATACCAATAATGTCCAATGGTGTCATTTGATATAGTAATTTTGTCAGTACCTTATTCTGCCTTTTCTACAAATGCTAAAACTTTTCATTAACTTTTTGGTTGGTTTCACAACGTTCTGGTCAAAGGTGTGACATCCATCTATTTGAGCTATGCAACTATGAATGATGCTTTAGTAGTTCTGATTTCTTCCCCATCTCTAGTGACAGAATTCATCACTTTCACCCTGGAATGCACTGTTTTACAGTTCTGGAAAATTCTGGCTTGCCAAGGTTATCACTGTGCCTTGTTTCATGGCTTTACATAACTAAGTATTTGACAAAATTTCAGAATAATCTCTGGCGACTAGAGATGAAGGTATTGCAGATCTGATAGAATGTAATTCCAGTCACCATCGTATTTCATATTTGAACTTTCCTCTTTTGGACTGCTACTACAAATCATTCCACTTTCTAACACATATAAACTCAGACTGTATGAACTCTAAAGCTCTTATTCATTATGACAGTATTCTGAGTTGTAGCATTTATAATACTGTTTTATTTCTATTTCTATGCTTCAATCACTTTTGAGCCAAAATAAAATTTAAAATGTAACCAATGATAACACACAAATGAAAAACAAAAATCCCTTGGTTAACGAACTGAACATTAGCCAAGATGAACTGACTGAAATAGACCTCGTAGCACATGGGCAGTTTTTTTAAGAGTGCAAAGGGATTTTTGGTAAAATTATTATTTTATTAATTAAAAAAATGTTTGGGGGCTAAGATTACTATCTCATTTTTTCTCTGAAACTGCCAAATAACCTGTGTATTATTTGACAGATCTCAGAAAACCACATCATGACTACTGGTTCACAGATTTTTTGGGTCTTAAAAGCTGTTTAAGGTTTTAAAAATTATTGAGAGCCCCAAAGAGTTTTTGTGGATGTCTAACAAGATTTATCATATTAGAAATTTAAAAAATTTAAAATACTTATTAATTTACTTAAAAATAACAATAAACCCATTCCAAAATGAAAAAAAAAAAAAGTATTGAGCAAAGTGGATTATTTAACATTTTTTGCAACTCTCCTTATTATCTGGCTTAATAGGAGATAGCCGGATTCTTATATGCTTCTTCATTCAATGTGTTGCAATTTATTGTTCTGGATGAAGTATATAAAGAAAATCAAGCTTTGGGGTGCCTGGGTGGCTCAGTCGGTTAAACATCTGCCTTCGGCTCAGGTCATGATCTCAGGGTCCTGGGACGGAATCCCATATCGGGCTCCTTGCTCAGCAGGGAGCCTGCTTCTCCCTCTCCCTCTGCCTGCCGCTCCCCTTGCTTGTGCTTTCTCTCTGTCAAATAAATAAAATCTTTGAAGAAAAAGAAGAAAAGAAAATCAAGCCTTAAACAGGTAAGTAGTTGGGGCGCCAGGGTAGCTCAGTTGGTTAAGCATCTGACTCTTGCAAACCCTGCCCTGGGTTTCAAGCCCAGCGTGGAGCTTACTTAAAATACACAAACAAACAAACAAACAAAGATATGTGGTTGGAAAGGGAGTATTTTATTTTATTTTTTAAAAGATTTTATTTGAGACAGAGAGAGAGATAAAGCACAAGTGGAGGAGGATCAGAGAGAGAGGGAGAGGCAGACTCTCTGCTGAGCAGAGAGCCTGATATGGGGCTCGATCCCAGGACCCTGAGATCATGACCTAAGCTGAAGGCAGACGCTTAACCGACTGAGCCACCTGGCACCCCGGAAAGGGAATATTTTAATAGTCTTTCCTGATAACTGCATTAACAAAGAATAGCTATAACAAAACTCAACAAGTGATAGTTCTTTTTTTTTTTTAAAGATATTATTTATTTATTTGACACAGAAAGATAGATAGCTAGAGAGGGAACACAAGCAGGGGGAGTGGGAGAGGGAAACGGCAGGCTCCTGACCGAGCAGGGAGCCCGATGCGGGGCTCGATCCCAGGACCCCGGGATCATGACCCAAGCTGAAGGCAGATGCTTAACGAGCCACCCAGGCACCCCTCAACAAGTGATAGTTCTGAAAAAGTTAATTTTAATGTGGGATATAAAACCATATTGATGAGTTTTTCATACTCTGTACACGAATGAGAGTGAAAAAGGCAAATGTGTTAATATTAAAACATGATCGCCCACAGCAAGATGAAGCTCCACACTGCAACCGCCCTAACCACTCTATTTATA